CCCCCGCCAGGCCCCCCACCCCCGCCAGGCCCCCCACCACAGAGATCCTACCTCGTCTCTTTCCAAAAACTCACGCACGTCCGGGTCCTGCAGGAGGGAGGGGTGAGCAACAACTCTTTGGAGATACCTGGGGAGGGGGGGGGGGCAAAGGTGCTCATTGGATTTGCTACTGATCTATATACAGGGAAGGACCAACAAAGAGCTCAGATTTTAAAGCCAGATTTCTGATTCTAAGTTTCAGTTTCAAATCCCAGGAGAGGCCAAGCTGCTGCACCTGAAGATTCGGTGACACGCAGGTTTGACAAGGGCGTGCATAAAGAGCGTTTCTGCCTTCAGCACTGGTGAATATTTATACTAAAGCAACCGGTGGTATCGCGCTCATTCACACGAGCGATTCTGACTTTTCGAGAATTACAATGAGGGGTCCAGCCAGACGTGTCACAGCGTGAGGCCGGGCCTGGCTGAGCAAGATCAGACGGCTCCTCCACACACCAGAACGTCCGGATTAAATCACAGCTTCCTGCCGACGGCTGAAAGGAACGGATGCCGTGGCCACATCCATGTGAAGATTACTTTAAAGGACACATTGATATGAAGACTAAGAAACAGTTTCTTCCCAATAGTAATAGATACATATAAATATATGCAATATACACACTGAATTGATACGTGCAGTATACCTACACTATATGGGTAAAAGTATTGGGACACCAGGCTGTTACACCCACAGGAACTTGTATAACATGTAGGAAGCACAGAATTGTCTTGATATGCAAACCAAGACATTTTGGACAATTCTATGCTTCCAGCTTTGTGTGAAGAGTTTGGCGAAGGCCCTTTTCTGTTTGAGTATGACTGTGCCTTAGTGCACAAAGCAAGGTCCATAAAAACATGGTTGGGCGAGTCCGGTGTTGAAGAACTGGACCGTCCCGCACAGAGCCCTGACCTCTACCCCATCGAACACCTTTGGGATGAACTGGAACGCAGAGACGAAAACACTGTTCCTCCAGGACAACAGTGCAACACGAAGAACAGAAACAGAAACAACACAAGACTACACAAGTGCAGGCAGGACAGAACAACATAGAGAGTGCAAGGAGAGCAAAGGGAGAGAGTGCAAGATAAAGACAGGAGCAACAATACAGCATTAGCAGGCAAGACAGCATATAATGCAGTTTACAAAAGCAGTGACAGTACTAGTGTGCAAAAAATACAAGATAGCAATAAATACAGAAATGTGCAAACAACAGCAGCAGAAGGACAGAGAATGTGCAGTGTGTAATAAATGAAGGGGATATACAGTATGTGTGAGTGTGTGTATGTGTGTGCGTGCATGCTGACGTGTTTGTGTGTGCAAGCACACGTGTGTGAGAGCGTGCATGGGGGTGTGGGTGCAGCTTATGATTCAGTTCTGATTCAGAAGTCTGATGGCCTGAGGGAGGAAACTGTTTCCCATCCTGGCAGTGAAGGCCTGTATGTTACGGGAACTTTTGCCAGACGGAAGCGGGTGAGAAGGGGGTGTGTGAGGTCATCCGAGGGGTGTGTGAGGGGGGTGGGAGGGGTGTGTGAGGTCATCCGCGATGCTGGTGGCTTTGCGGATGCAGCGTGACGTGGAAATGTCTGCCACAGAGGGGAGAGAGACCCCAAACCCGATGATCCTTTCAGCTGTTTCGGTCGACCTTCACTCCAAATATTTGCTCACATGTATCAGAACAACTGGTGCCCATGTCCATCACCGGCAAACCCTGCGAAGACTAAGATACCAACAAGACCTCCAGTATTAGACAACTGGACAAGATGTGTGACCTGTCATAAAAGTACCCGTGGGTGTGATGGCCAGGTGTCTCAATACTTTTGCCCATACAGTGTATTAACAGTGGATTAAATATGCAGTTATAACTTGCAGTATACCACCAGTTCACCACTGTCATTTAACCTAGTTTATAGTACATCATATGTATTCTGCATATAAAGTGAATGAATGCTGTGCGTATATTATATATGGTTTATTGTTTTCACTATTCTGTTATCTGTTATTTAATGTTCTTCATCATGATATGTTGTTTAAGTCTGCACGGAGGTATGCAAGCAAGTATTTCACTGTATTTATACTTCTACATATGACAATAAAGCTTTTCTTGAACGCTTGAAATAAGGATAAATGGAACCGTTACATAATAAGCTAAACACCAGGACCTCTGAGGGCAATATTTCAGCCAAAAGTGCACATCTTGCTCATGGGAATTTTACTTACACAACAATATGTTCTGAGGGCAGAACAAAAGATGATTCCCAATCAGATAACCAATCTAACTGTAGAGGAGGTGGGTCCAAGCAACTAACAGAGGCGGGACCAACCAATCAGATGTCCCACGAGCGCAGGTCTTATTCCAGTCACGAGTCAGGGGGACTCACCTTTCTAAAGCTGCCCTCCTCCTCTCCACAAACTCAGCGGAGGATGGGTCTTCCTTGCCCACCTTCACTTTGGTCATCCCTGCGACAGAGTAATAGTCACTGTGACTGTGTACAAGTTCTCAGCCCATCAGTTTCAGTCACCTGCTGCCCTTCCTGTCATTCTATACGGCAAACATCTTTCATAACCCTAAACATCAAAGATACAAAATTCAATGTGGGACCCGGGACCCAAGGTTTTAGAAACAGGAAAAGAAAATGAAATTCAAGAGAGCTTGGGAAATTCGATAGTTTGTGAACTGTGTTGATGGACGAGAAATTATAGACTTTTTGAATTCAGATATCAGGAGTTTAGCTTTCAAAATTAAAGCGAGGGGTTCTGAACTCTTGAGTTCATGCAACAACCATTTCCTCATACTTAAAATAAATTAACAATATTACTAAACATATAAAGCCTCACCCACACTTATAATAGCCAATGTCAATGAAAACAGCAAATATTTATCTAGGAAATAGAAAGCAACGCTGAATTGAAATAGCAGGGCCAGCCCTGGAGTAACTGAGGGTTAACTGATCATAGCCTCCTTAATCTGCGGCAGGGACAAACAGACACAGCCTTTTGAGCCGGACAATGTGGCCAGACTGTGTGCTCAGTGAGGTGGTTTAGGTAAGACACCTCTGGCCAAAAGCACTTCACATCTAGCAGCTTCTGAACAGGCCACAGACCCAAGAGCTGAGGTGTCAAAATATTTATTATTCTGATATAAATATTTACTATTACAGGGATTTATTTCCCTGTGGTTTCAAAGGCAGCTACGCTGTTTCAACATTTTATAGCATCCTGTAGACTATTCAAAATATGATATTTTCTACCTATCATTAAGAGTTCCTAAAATCTAAAAGTATCTATACCTCATTATCAAAATGGGAACTCAAGTTAATTACTGTAAAAACATAATTTGGTTTTCTTCAAATCACACTACAAACCTTGATGTCATGTGTCATAAGCTCAAAATTGGATTTCATTTTCTGATACGAAGACTTAGATACTCAACGCTAACATTTAGGTTTACTGTGAGCCAAGATCTGTGGCAAACTGTGGGATAAAAATCCATCTGTCTCCAAAAATTCACAAGCGCAAGTTTGTTGATACACCAGTTTAAAACTGACTCCACCTCACAATCACATTACCGTGATGACCAGCATCTCCGCTTACCCAGAATGCTCTTCTCTGGGGGCGGGGGCACGATGTAGCCGTTCTGTGCATGCTTCTCCGACAGCTTCTCGTAGAGGCCCAGGAAATCGCTGAAGCGCCGCTTCACTGTGAATGACTTGCTCCTGAACATGGGCAGCGACGTCTGGCAGGAGAGAAGGAGGGGGCTCGTCAGATTTAAACCCTGAGGGCTGAGGAACAGGACCCACGATACAGACGCCTTTTCTGGGAAACCTCACACACACACACACCGCCCCGGTTCCCAGAGAAGCCTCCTGATAGCTCGAGGCCCCAAACATACCTGTGTGGACACCTGGTAGGCCATGTAGGCATTCATGCCGTCTCCTGTGGGGCAGAGTGAGGTTCATGAGAGGTGTTTGACGTCTGCCTCCCACAAACACAGAAGAGAGTCCACTGTCCCAAGCTGAAAGCTGATTGGTCCCCATAGTGCCCCATCCTCTGTCACTCATCAATTCAAAGCACATCATTGCCTAGTGATTATTTTGGCTCCTATATATGAATTATCTCCCCTCTTATGCTGCCCACCTTAAAAAAACATAAATCACACACACACAGACCAGCTAGGGTTTCCCAGTGCTCTGTGGCAGTGGGAGAGGGGATGAGGCGAACACAGAGGTCACACAGGAAGAGAACCACAAAAGGCAGGCTGTCATTTAAAGAGTGAAGCGCAGGTAGATTCTGAGCACCCAGCAAAAAGGGCTCCTTATCAGAGGGGGGGAGCACTGCAAGTACGCAAAATATTTTATCACCTGGGTGGCAGGTTCATGGGCCTGGACACCCACAGCTAGCTGAACAGCAGCAGGGGGCAGGGGGGGGGACACTGAAGAGCTTACCGACTTTCTCGGGGTTGGTGATGGAAATATTCAGCTCAAACTTGTCCTCACTCTCCTCCTCCTCCAGCTGAAACAAAAACCAAAGTGTCAGGAAGGCCAGCAGAGCTCAGAGTAGTGAGCAGGCTGTTAAGTCGCTGACAGAGTAACGACATCATATACGTCAGCCAGGCTGGCAGGCACAACACTGCTGGGAATCAGGCAGTCAGCACCTGCCATGCGTGTGCAGCACCGTGACCCCAAAGGTCAAAGGTGTCCTGACTTTATTCTGCCTTTCCATGTTAAATCTGGGCTCTTGCCTGAGAGCAATCGTTAACCCAATGTTTGCAGGCATCTCTGGGAGGCAGCACCAGGATGAGCACTAGGGGGCGCCATACCTCTGCCATCGTTTTAAGCGCCGTTTTCGGCGCGCTTGGCTGGACGGCGACAGACGACTCGGTGCTCGTAACTGGTTTGGGTGTCTCCTTCCTTTCGCTATGAGGGCTGTCCAGCGAAAGCTCGACAGTGGCTTCTGCGGATTAAACACAAATGTGTAAAATAAAACAACAATGATTCGAGGTTTATTTCTGTCACCAGCTCCACTTAATCAGAAGCATTTAAGTTAACACTAAAGTCAAGAGAAACTAGGGTATTTACAGAAAGCCTATTATACACCTCAGTAAAAATGATCTACTCAAAGAAGCTGCCTGCACGATTCAACAGTGCTAGTCCGCGATTGTTACAGGACTCCTTTGGGTAACACATCACCAGTGTCCAGAAGCCTCCATTCATTCCAAGAGCAGCAGGAAACAGCAATACATCTAACTGGTGTGTGTTTGCGCTCTGTGGAGAATCTCATTTAGACACAGAAAGACCAGAGAGACCCCAGACATAGGAATCAAATCCACAAGCCATTAGCCCAATGCTCACTTCCACCAATTCGTATAAAAAAATATTAATAGGCAACATCTCGTTTATTATCTGAATTCACTCACCCCCAGAAACAAGCTGTACACTGTCCGTCGGGATGGTAACATAATCACGAGCCGTTTTAAAACTAGACTCCTGACAGCAATATAATCGGCAAAGACCCACTTTGAGCAGAACTGGCCCACTGTCCACACAATGGCCTGCACCACCATTATTGTGAACTATAACCGAACTGATACAAGCTTCCTCACTTCTGTGTTGCGCGTCTGCATGTATACAAGCTTTTGGGTCTGTGTCTACTCCACCCCCCCCCGCTAGCACTGATGCAGTCAGGCAGAGCTGAGCCTGAGCACCAGGCTTCCTGTGTCATTAGTGTCACAGGCAGAGCAAAGACCTCTGCCCTACCCCCCCGAGCAAGCATGTGACTGAGGGGCTTGGGGACATCCAGGCATCAGCTGCTGTCAACAACAAGAGCTCAGGAAAGTCGGGATGAACTAAAGGACTGGACTTTAGAATAACGTAAAAGACTAATTCTTTAAGGGGACACAGCAGAAGTGTCCCAGTGGTACAGATCGGACTGGTTCAGAGATCACACTCACGTCACGACGAGCCCAACCTGAGCTATCCGAGAGAGGGGTCAGCTGATCGAGCTAAAGATCTCGGTGACCAGCGGGAAGATGCCAAGGTACCTGCTAATTACAGAGGAACCATGGCTATGAGCCAAGACACGGGCAACGAGCCTCTGCTGAGACCGGACAAGGCTGGGTTTCTCCAGAGCAGGGGCCAAAACTGTGGAGACACCCAGGCACAGTTTTCTGTGCAAGATTCCAAATTACATACATCTCAGTTATATTCCAATTGCATTTATATTTAAATGACAACAAGCTGTCAGACCACATCGCAAGTGTGTTTCCAAACCTGGTCCTCGGCTAGGGAGCTGGGAGGGTGCAAAATTGTACACCATCTGCGGGTCCCCAAAGACCGTATTGAGAAACACAGCCCTATTTATAAGAAGCTCTACACCGCACTCTACACGAAGCACGTGACCCTGGTAGAGGCCACAGTTGAGCCACAGGGAGTTCAAATCGAAAGTGACAGACCACACTATCATAAACCACTAAATATGACCGTTGGAGGGGAAAAAATCACTGCGAGCAAACAAGGTCCATGCGTAGGTGCAGGCACCAACAGCCAAACAAACCTGCACATGCTCTTCAGTGAGACCTATCCTCTGAAACTGTCCTTTGTGACCCATGGCCTTAACACGTCAACAGGCCAGCATTCGGCCAGATTGCATACCAGCGAAGATATCCTGTTCTTCATCTGAGTGAATGCCGTTGGACTTGGAGCTGGAGTTGGCGTTGGAGCCGGAGGCAGGTCCGGGCCTGGCAGGTCTCGCGGCGGCCTCCTCGCTGAAGATGTCCGACCGCGGCTCGGTGAAGAGGTCGGCCTGTCTGCCGTCTCGTGCAGGCTTCTTATTGGCCCCGCTGCCGTCCAGGTCGCCCAGGGGGTCGCTGCTGGGGATGTCGCGCTGCAGCTTCGCGGTCACGTCGACAGGTGGCTGGTGCCGCTCCGCTTTTATTTCTGCTGGCTTGCTCTGCAAACAATGATGGTGGGAAAGTGAGCAAACACAGAAATGAGGCCTCTGACTGCCCAGCAGGGAAGCAAGTGTTTCACGGCACCTGAGCCTTTGGCAGGGGTGTATACAGGGGTGGGGCCACAGGGGCACTGAGTCCACAGGGACACTCATTGGCCCCCCGAGTGCCCCCTCCCCTGTCAGTCACTGATTGAACACATATCATTGGTTAATAAGGTTGGTCAGTTAGTTATTTTAACTTTTAATACCGTGCCAGCAACCACGGCTATATTCATGGCAAGCAAATGGAGAGTAAAACAGATTGAAGAAATAAAAAGGTTAAAACATTACATGTAGAAGTTGTTACAACTGTTAGTTTTCGATAAAAAAAAAAAACTAAAAAAGACTTTAGTAAAACCTCAGTTAAAAAGCCAGGAAAATTATAAAAAAAAAAAAAAAAACCACCAAAGGGAGTTAAAAGAAGGTCAATAACATGCTCAATAGACTTCCAAGACTGACTCTTGCACCATTTGTAACAGGGGTAATTTAATAGAGTTTGTTATTTAAAAAAATTCAAGAATCACCCCATAGCCCCTGGGTAAGCTGGCCTGAGCCAAACAACCCGAGACTTTTGACCCAAAAGAAAAAAAAACATTACAGATCAAATCAACAGATCAGAGCGGCAACAAGAACAACCAGTATCTTACAACATAAGATAAAAACGTTAAATTAATTATAGGATGAAGTTTTAATTTAGAAATTTGAAAGACTTTTTTGCAAACCCTGCACCACGTGCACACACCCATTTTCGGTACATTACGCAATGCCAGATGCAAAGCTGCTCACCAAACAGCAACAAAAAACAGGCTTGATGCACAGGATATGAAACATCATAAAGAATGCCTTATACTGCAAGTTTTCAGGAGCTGCATCCTGTTGTATCCTATAAGGAGCACGTGGATCAGTTAACAAGGACTGTGCTTTGATCGGGTAAACACAGTATGGGGGGGGCAGAGAGGGTAGCTTAACTAAATCATTATACAATTACACAACAGCCCTGATATTTCACATAACTGAAGGACAATGACTTCCATGCTTTTGCAAAACAGTGCAGTTTCTGCCTCGGACTGTCTGTCAATGGCAAAAAGGGGAAGAAATCATTGTACTTCATTTCAGATGAGGAATGAGGAAAAGACCCCGGCTGCTGACAGCTGTGCAGTATTTTCTGCTTCAGCTGCTCAGGTATGTAACACGGCAAACACACCCACAAAATGGAGGTCATGTAGACCAATACCTGGGTTGCCCATGTAAGTGCCCCACAGCAGAGGGGATCCCTTTGGTTGCTTAAGGGAAGGGCATGATTTTGCAAGAGGTGACTGAGCTTGTGTGACCTAAGGTTAATCCAGTGGATTGATGTTCACAGGACAAGCCTGGGTACAGAGCCAGTCAGGGCTGAACAGTCTGTCAGTTAGAGACTTCACTAAGTTAAGGTTTCCTTGGAGCCCACAGAGGTATATTCAGAGAGCAGAATTTCCCTGTGGCTGGGGTTCGGGTATCGGTGCCTTTTATCGTAAACATTCAAGGATAGCCTGCTTGCATGTATTACCTTGTATTGAAGAGTCAGATTAAAATGGACAAAAAAACAAATTCCGCAAAACAAAAGCAGAACTCAGTACCACGTAAAAACCAACAGACTTTTAAAAAGATACTCTGGAAAATGTGTCCAATCACCACATCCTCGTTTTAAAGGGAGCAGAGAACCAGGAAGCGGTGGACCGGTGAAATTAAATACTGATGACATTTCAATCGCTCTCTTCAAAGTAATTCCTCTAACTACAAATAACAACAATGATGAGAAAGAAAAATATTAAGCAGGGGCGGCTCAGTGGCCGTCCCACATCTGCAATAGACTGGTATCTCATTCAGGGTGGACCTTCGTGTCCTGTGCTGTCCAACCCTCCCGCCTCACATACTCTGTGACACCGATCGGGATAAGCGGTTAGGAGATGGATGTATGTATTGACCAGATTAAAAGAGCAGCTCTACAGATCCATGCGAGCAGTCCACAGTGAGTGGGCGGCATGCCACACAGGCGGCAGCTTGCCAACTAAGACGCGCTTCGCGGCCGCGTCCCGAGCGACACCCGGCCGGGCGTCTTGCGAAAACCCGTGACGGTGGGTCCGGTAAGATCATCCAGCTGCTGGCGGTGAAGAGCGGCTGGCTACGGACGACCGGGTACTCAGCCAAAATCAATTAGTCACCCAAACAAACAACACACACCCACAAATCTGTTTCAGCGAAGTAAACAAGTTAGGGCGGAGGGGAAAGGGGTCACCAAGGCTAAGCGGCGCGCCGACCCGTCACCGGTAATCAATCCGAACCTGCCCAGGGTCGCTGCCCGTTAGCCGTGTCCTGTTGCATTCCAGCGCACCGCGGACGACACCGGGACCGAAAGGCCTTTGCCTGGCACTGTCCGTGTCCCACTCCCCGTCCCGCTCGCGCTTCCACGGCGACCCGTAAAGCAGCTTAGGCGAAAGCTTCTCCCATCGTCCGGCTTAGCCGTTAGCTTAGCCGGAGAAGCGGAACTTTTCGGGCTGCCCTGAATTCGACACTAGAAGCAGCTCCCCCCGCCGCCTTACAGCCTACTTCCCACTACACCAAGTATAAAAGAAATAAAAAAACGCAAGTGTGGCTTACTTACGTTCCCGGTGAAGATGTCCTCTCCCTCGTCGCTGTCCCCATCAGCCGGGTCGGGGTCGGGTTCCTGGTCCTCGGATTCGGGGAAGGGAGGGGGACTACGCTCCGAGCTGGTCGCCATCTTTAGACTGCGCGAGCAGGCGGCGGCGGCAGCATCATAAAACTTCACTGGGGACGGAGGGCAGAAAAGGTACATCTTAAAGGGGATGGGCTGCCGTGGCGACATCTGTTGGTCGCTGGGTGAATGACACGCCACGTCGAAACGAAGTTAGAGTATATAAGAAATCCGTATTAAATTTATTTCTTTTGTTTAAAGCGACGTACATTAAGGAGTATATTGGAATAACAGCAGCTATCTAAAAACTATATACTGCCTTCTCGTATATCACACACGTACCTGAATTTTTCAAAACCTTATGCTATTAAAATCAAATATATATATTATATTAATACATGTTCGGGAAATGGACGAACTGCCTCAATAACTTTAATTATTACAAATGGTGGAGACTTGTCCGTGCATGTACGGAAACGGCACCGTTTCAAGTTTAACAAGTGGGCGGCTGCAGCTTTCATACGGCAAGACGTCAATCGAAACCGACGAAACACACAGCTCGTTGTAATGGGCAGTTCTTCAGTAACTGTATTCACTGCTGATTATAAATGAACATATCAGTAGATACACTGTTTACAGTGATTAGAAGTATGTAACTAATATTATAATGTAATCTTATAATCAATAACAAGAATTGCGGAAGTAAGAAAGATAATTTGTTCCGCGGTGTATCGCGTATAAAAACCGTGCAGATACTGGTCGGATTTTATGCAGGGTATGTCGGTTTATATGTTAACAGTATTGGATATTTTGCTTATCAAATATGCGTTTCGTGTGTAATTCGACATCAGACATAAAATCCGTATCATTCCTCATCCACCCACTAAAAACCCCGGTATGTGGTACATTAGGAAACGATCCCAGGTAGATCAGTGGTTACCAGAATGGCACACGCCACAGCAACGTCGGTATTAATATTTACTTCTTTCAGTTGCAAAAAGAAACTATAGTCAAGCAAATATTTTAAATAAATTTGATGACGCATGTCTAAAAAAGATTAAGTTGTCCAAAAATTGTTTAAGCTAAATTGATAAGCAAGCATTCAAAACCGTATTGTTTTTAAAGTACCTAATATGACATTGAAAGGCAGATGGCGGGGTAGATACACGAGTTCCTGGAGCTCCTTTAACGTTTTCTTTCACCTCCTGTAAGAAACAGGTTTATCAGGGCTGCTCCTGTGCACAGTATATGGTTGCTTTGGTCTGATAAGGCTGGAAGTGCACCCCCCACGCATCATATTCCCGGTGCGCTGAACTACGCGTTCAAGGAACACTTAATGGAGCTACAAACCATTTAAATATAAACTATTTAATGTCTGTGGGGTATTTCTTACCAATGAAGCATTGTCGCCGTTTACAATTAAGCTCCTCTAGACTTACTTTTTTTGGTTGGATTTCTATAGACAGTTAGCATATGGCTCAAAATGATTACTTTTGCTGCGAAGTTTTTTTTTTGGGGGGGGGGGGGTCTGACTGGAGCACTCCCCATATCCACATCTTAAAAACAACTCCTCCCTGTTGGGACACTGATACAGTCACAATCTCTGGTGTATGAAAATGAAGCAATTGTCTTCCAAGTAAAGGAGCAAATGCCATGACAGGATGCTTGGGGAACCAAAACTGACGCAACCATTATGGTTTGCGGAACATCCAATCTGCTCATAATATTCTGAAGGGTTCTTGCTTCCCCCTAGAGGCAGCATGAGGTAATACAGTAGATACTGGACATGATGCCGGTTGTTTGACTAGACTTCAAAAGGAAATGTATGCTAAAATGCTTAAAAATCAAACTTATTTTGCAAATTGATTTTTCTTCGGTCAAAACCAAACAGCAGTTGTGTCAACATTGACATACTTGTACCACTAAGCCAAATTAGTGGGCTAGGCAGTTGTTTTAGCATTTAAGTCAGTGTCAGTTATTCCACTAAAGAATTCAGTGATCATTGTCAACACACCACAGCACACAGTGCGCAACAACGAAATGTGTCCTCTGCATTTAACCCATATGTGACATAGCAGGGGGCAGCTAATTCAGCGCCCGGGGAGCAGTGCTTGGGGGCGGTACCTCAGTGGGGCCTTGCTGGTCAGGGATTCGAACTTGCAATCGTTCAATTACAAGTGCGCTTCCCTAACCATCAAGCCACCACTGCCCACAATCATTTAATGTTTTAGCTGGGCATGTTGTCATGGTGACATTTTACATGGCAAACCTGTTCCGGATCAGATTTTTTTGAGTCTCACAGGAATATTCACAGGATCCTGCCTTCTGTCCCTTCACATCCATAGCAAATGTGACGACAGCCTTCGTCAAGGACCCTCTGGGTGGCTTATCCTTACAAATTAGCCGGATGTCGAGACAGGCAAAACCCATGACTGTCTCTGATGGCATGAAACATTTGTGCAAGCTATCAGAACCCTATGCCTATACCAGCCAGAGATAAACACAGAACCACAGACCACGCACAAAGCCTTGCCTTTGTCTGCAATGCATGCTTACCTGTATGCTATCAGATGTCTGGGAATCTCAGTAAGAACAGTGTGCTGGGAGATTCACGTTCCCCAGAATATTAGTTTTTCCCCCATGCACCCTGTGTATGGGGGGGCTACTATGGAACAGCGAGTAAGTGTGTTCTGTTGCCACATGTCACATTTGCATACTACATATTCATTGATATGATTTCCAATCGCATCCGTCTTGCAGAGGATTCCCTAGAGTGAGATGCAATTGACTGCATGCATATAGCAATTAAAAAAGGTCCTGGGGGCACATGAGGCTGACTATGGAGACAGGAAATTAGTCTCCAGCATCAATGTTCAGGTACAGACAAAGCACTGCGTTTAACAGAATAGATTTACACACCATTTGAAGTCACCTTCACCAATATCCATTTTCTCCACAGATGACGTGTGATATCAGTACCTAGTAAGTGATGCAAAATGGTCTGGTTCTGTCCACAACTCTTGTATCTTCAGAGTCTGCATTGGGTAGCAGCCTAGAGTCTGGTTTGTTAACTGAAATATCACAACGAATCACAGCCTTTTAAAGTGACATGTTCCTGAAGTCAAGCTCCACTCCCTAATGTACCAGCCTAATGGCAGTTCAGTCAGAGCTCCCTCTCGATAGACAACCAGACTTGCGGTAGATTAACTTCGACAGAATGTTTGGGTGTCACAATAACCAACTTTGACAATCCCCATCTTTAACATTTCCTGTGTGGTACAGGCCTCAAGTACAGACCCACCAGTACACAGGCAATCCCTGAGATTTTAATATATATAAAAAACACACCCAACTCATGGGCAGCACAAAGTTACGGACTGCCATAAAGGCTAAATTAAACTACCAAGTTCAATGTTTGTAATAATGAATGAACATGCTACTTTGTGACGCTCATGAAAGCATTGCATGGTTTCAGCAGTCTGTGGGCTCAAGGTACAGAATGTAGTTACGTTACCATATTTCCCCCCCCCAGACTTTCCTACAAAGTTAGACAAAGACAGACATGAATGGATCTCAATCTGGGGACTGCATAGGATCAAATGCCATCGTACTTCATTCCATCACCTGAATCATTACACAAAGATGCCCAAATGAAAGACCACAAAGCAATCTGGAGACACTGTCACTGGACGAAGTGCAAGAACCCAATGAACATGGGCAAACCCAAACAAGGAGCCAAAAGTAATGCTTCAACACCTTTATTTGTGCCCAGTCAGAACATACTCCACATCTGCAGGTAAACACAGCAAAAAGGGGGGGGAAAAAAATAAAATAAAAAAATGCCCATAATGAGGTTGGATTTAAAAAGGGAGGGGGGAGGGGAAAAAAAAAAAGCTGGGCTAGGCAACAGGCTCAGCACGAGCACAACTTAACACAAAAAACTGGTTCATCTGCACATAGCTTAATATATCTGAGGCTGAGAGAGGAGCCAGGAAAAGCAGACCAGCATGGTTCAATACTCCTTCCTCGTACAGGAAGTCACTTCCTCATCCAAAACAGTGTCACAAGCAGCTTCGCCCATGACCGCTGCCAAGGACCTGCCCTTCTGCTGACTAGTGTTTAAAACCACCGTTTTTCCCCTTCTCCGAAGTGCAAATTAAAAAAAGTGCAACTACTTTAAAACTATGTACACATCTAAGGTCTAAGTCTGTTCCAGGTTGGCATCCATGAATCCAGGTTGGGGTTTGAAAACACAGCAACCTGAGTTGTGGCAGCATCCAGCATGGTGCAAATCAACTGGAGGACCTGCACAGGGCAATGTTTCACCTTCGTGCCCCAGTACATCTGGAAGGGAAAAAAAAGGAAAAAAAAAAAATCCCCAGTGTCACATGGGGAAGGGGGGGGCAATGGAAAAAAAAATGGGGGAAATTAAAAAGCCGCCAGGTTGAGTCAAAATTTCCCATGTCTCGACTAAAAGTGTGTAAAAAAATTAGTAAAAAACTGCATAAAAATTTATGAAATGCGACTGGTTAATAAATGAGGCCCAACTCATCTCCCAAAGTAAAAAACCAAGCAGGTCGCCAATGAAACGGGCCGACCCACTGGTGGAAGGGATGGGGGAGAAATTGAAGGCACTGTACTGGATTGGGCAATGTGAAAAGGCAACGAGGCCTGCATGATCATCCGCCAACATGCATGTAAAACAAAAAGACTGCTCTTAAAAAAAGAAAAAAGGCATTTCCCCCCAATCAACATCTTCAAAGCACTGGCTGGAATCATCTAACTGCAGCCAGCTAGTCTGAGTATTTAGCCAATATGAGGTCTTTCCAACGCCTCACTGTGCATAGTGCCATCGTGAACGAGTAAACAGCAAAAATAGCAAGTGCAAATCGTGAACTTTCTACAGTGGTTCTTGCCCCTCCGCAAGCCCAAGTGGTGTTCCGTTCCCATGGGTGGGGGAGTGGGGAGGGGCCTGCACTTGAGCCTCACTCCATAGGGGTGGGAGAGCCAGCGGCAGGAGGCCGAGCGGGGGAGCGGCAGTGGACGCACAGCCGGCTGCCTAGCTGGACTCGCGGTTCTTCTGGTTGCGCATGAGGGGCCGGTGGTTGCTCAGGATGTCCATGGAGTGCTGCCAGTGCCAGCAGGAGCGGCAGTAGTATTTAAAGCAGGCCTGGGGAGAGTCAAAGAACAGCTCTTGTGTCACTGCACTGTTGAAGACTAGGAAAAGCTTCAGGGAACAGCATCAGCCATCATCCTTCACACAACTTATGCAATTACTCGGCTGGCCAAGGGATTCAAACCCATGATCTTCTAGACGTGAGCACAGACCCCTAACACTGCCGAGCTCAAGTGACCCAATCCCATAATCCTTCCATCCTACAGTGAATGTCCCCCTTCACCATAACCTGGAAGCGGACAGGAGCAAAGCAAGTTCCACTCACCTGATCTCTGCAGAAGAATGGACCGGGCTGCCGGTTGCATACCTGGCACGTAGAGTCCTCCAAGTAAGGATCTATCTGCACCTAGGAGGAGAGGGGTGGGGGGGTCATGCCCAGATGAGGATGCCAAGTGGGTAGGTGGGTGGGTGACGAGTTACCTTTTTAGTGAACTTGGGAGTCTTTATCTCCACAAAGGCTGCACTGACTGCCTTCAGATAACTGCGCTGGTTGTTGAAGGTCACACGGCCAGATCCTGTCAGAGGAGCCCATTCAGAGATACAGCGCTAAGCAGCAGCAAGTTTAAACAAAAAAGGTAAAAAAGAAGGGGGGGGGGGGAGAAATACTTGCCAATTGGATACTTGTGCTTGTCTGTGTCAATGCCCGCATACATGACGCCCCCAAAGAGGTCGTTCATGATGCTGGCCAGAGCTTCTGCGTTGAGCATGCCATGCAGGGCTCCCACAAACACAGTCTTGCTGGGGTCCAGGCGCTGGGACGGACAGCGAACGTAGTTGCTGTCGGAGATCACCCAGGGAATCACCTGTACCTGTGACGGGGTCAGAGGTGAAAGTTCACTCCCAGCCTGTAAGATCCAGGAATGTTTCTGCCAAATCAGGCGTTAGCATGTGTGATGTTGACCCATCCACAATTTATGGCAGCTGGAAGGCTTGAATGGGACAAGGAACTAGACATTTATCTGGAAAAATGGCAGGACCAAAGAAATCTCATGTTCAAATGCTAATGCTGTTAGCATATCACTGCTATCAAGCTGTATGGGGGGGTGCAATTTATTTATTTATTTTATAAAATGTTTATATTGATATCGCTAAGAATAATCAACCAATTAATCTGACGATTTAAGAGTGTGCAATCTTATAAAATATTTCAATTCACATGTAGTAGGAACCAGACACTGCGAGGTGCGTTGCAGTTTAGGCACTCCAGCTTGTTACGAGATGTTTTTGGACAGTGCAATGGAACCGCTAGAGGATCTGCTGAAAAGCCACGTGCACGCAGTGAGTATGCAGAGTCCCCACAAACACAATGTGGCAGTGTGCAGTGACAGCACCACTCACTGTCACTCAATGCTAGGCTTGCCCAACATGCAAAGTTACACAATTTCATGTACGCACAATTGTCACATCGCAAGGACTGCGATATTCTTTGATGTGAACCTAGCAGACTAAGCCACACTAACAGTCATAGCAAACAAAATTTAGAAAGATTAGCAATTTTAATGGCTCCCCTTTCCAACATTTTTGGCAGTCTAAAAACGAAGTACGTACAAGATGTGGTTTGGTCATATATGGCCAATACTCTATCGGTCTAATCAGTGCCAATACAGATCTGAATATCGGCTCGGTGCACCTCTAATTTATGTATCAAATAGCACCCTCTACATTTCAGTGGCAGTGTCAGGGATACTCCAGCAACGTTTTCAAGATTTGAGACCAGGATGAAGACAATATTGGGTATTGGGGGGGGTGACCTGGGGATTAAACACTTACATCTTTACAGCGCATCCTCCGACTGGACATCTTGAAGTAATACTCGCCGTAGTCCTCAGGGTGCAGCATGTCTTGAGTGCAAGCCTGCAGCAGTCCACGCACAGAGCTCTCGGACTCGAACACCAGGTACACGTAGCCTACAGGAAACGGCAGTCAGGCATCGACAGGCACACGCACAGAACCTGTCCGCATCCCCACTTACAGCTAGGAGTGGGTGAAATGGCAGAAGTGTCAGCATTTTTGGTTAGAATTACCATCAATGACAGAATGTCATTTACAAAGTAACCAAATTAGAATGTTAGTCATTTAACCAGGAATTCTATACTTACAAGAAACTGCTAGTCGCATTATGAGTCAGGGACTGACATAACTGGTACACAAGTATGCATTACGCATGCAAATGATCGCATTTGTGCTGATAAGTGGCTGCGCATTTTAACCTTATACTGGGAATGAAGTGTGCAGTCACTGTATAAAGGTTAAAATGCGAAGTAATTTCTCACAATAGTGCAAAGGCGCATAATAGACATACAATGACCAGAAATTGCCACACGCATAGCTTTATATGGCAAAACGTGTATCAGTTACGCAAGTGCCTGATAATGACTTGATATGCAAAACTTGTGTATAAAGCAGTTTAGAAAAAATGGTTAGAAAAGACGAGTTGTTTGAGATCTAGTCACTAAGTTGAGATACTACTCTTGACAATGTATCCGTTTTAGTGTAAGATACAGACAGCACCAAGCTGTTACGCAGGCCTACACTAGTTTCACGTCGGCCATTTTGGTCGTTTTGTTGCCTGCGTTTCTGGAAGCAGCATTGCATGCTGGGTGCTTACTGCTTTGCCCTCTTTATAATAAGTTCTTGCGAAAGCTCTGAAATGCTAACTAGACACTACTGCACCCGGCCGCAAAATCTCAGTCACATCACCCTCCGCTAACTAGAGCTATGAGCCACTGCGGAAAAGTCAGACAGGAATCACCAACACCAACACACCCCATTCAGTGCAGGGACCACCTTTGTGCCCACACCTGGGACCCCAGTGCAGCCCTGTGTGCAAACTGAGCAGCTGGCTCACCACTGTGCCACCATGTGCCCTGGGGGGTAAATAAAGGAGAAGGCCTACCCACTGCAGTACCTTTGGGCATATTACCTTTGGGAGGGCAACGGGGATGCTTGCCATCCTTACCAGGCCACTCCACACTCAGCGGCCCATAGGTGTGGAACGTGTGGATCAGCCCGGCTGAGGGGGGGGGGAAGGAGGTGGAGTCAGAGTGTGACAGGGGGGGGGTTGGGGGTAGACAGCAGTCAGGGACCAGACCAGGCAGATTTTCAGGGTGCCATTTTACGCTTGCGTCACACGTCACATGCACAGCAGCGCAGACACACGCATGCTGGGTTACATGCCAACATGTTAGCGTTGAAGTTCTTCACTGGGAGCGAAGATGACAGAAATGCAATATGTCACACACACAAAGCCAAAGTAAACCGTGGGAGAACCACCAGGAAAGTGGTGAAACATTAGAGGTAGAACTTTATATAGTATGTTTAATAATCAGTTTAATCTTGAAAAGGAATGATTAACGGTTTTTGATTAGGACAGTAAAAACGTTACAGCAACACTTCTAGTGCATGGAGTTTAAATGCCCGCACAGTATGACGTTATGAAAACGCTTGATCTTAGTCTAGCTTACTAGCAACGCAAGATCTGAATGTGCATAACATGCGATGCTGGTATTACCACAACTATTAAGTGTACTACACTCTTCCAAGCTAGTACTATGTTGGAGGTCAATTTCCATTTTACGCAGATACCTTGACAGCAGGTGTCACCATTAAGACTCAGCAAGCACCCACCTTCAGTGATATCCCAGGGCACCCCGCCCAGGAAGACCTTGCAGGAGTACAGGGGGTTTTTGTAGTTGCGGGGAGGCAGCTGTCCACTCCAGGTGAAGGTGGCCTCATTCACAGCTGCAGGCAGAGCAGAGAACCAGTGACAGGGGGGGCAGGTAGAGGCGGACAGCCAGTGACAGGGGCCACACAGGGACTATACTAATGTTTACATGGGAGCAGGAGTTCCACAGCTGTTCAGCAAGCTTAGCATTGCCCAGAACGGAGCTTGGGGTGACTTCAGTTTGACAAGCCTGATCAAGAAGGATGCAAACAGAAGGAAGGGCCCCCCCCCCCACAGGACTGACAGCAGCACAAAGTGTCTGCTGCATACACGGGTGGGTTTGTCATTCCCTCCCCCCCCCCAACCCAAACCAAACAGCTAAAGACCAGAACATGCTGCTTCAGCATCTCTTAAATATGGAACGCATCTAATATAAAGTACAGTGACATTTGTGGCCAACGTGAAGCAGTTTGAATAAAGGTAAACACTGCTACAACTGCTGCAGTAACCTGAATTACTCCAGTTAAGAAGAATGAACAAAGGGCCTCGTCAGTAACCAGCAGTGCACAGGATAAGTAGCCCCCCCCCCCCAGTTACCAGCAGCCTGCCGATGCAGCCTTGCCTCCCTCTCAATGCTAAAGGGGCCATCTGCCGTCTCCAGCAGGTCCCAGTTAGGCCACATGGAGGCGCCGGGCCAGCGCTTGGCCAGGGCGCCTGCGGCAACAGCGCCAGGGGAGGGGGAGGTGACCATGGGTGAGCTGTCCTGCTCCAGATGGGAGCCCAGGCCCAGCTTCAAGGCATCCTTCTGCAGGCCAGACAGCAGGGGCAGCGGCGGGGAGATCCTGAGGGAAGACTGCCAGGGCAGAAGAGCCAGTCACCAGGCAAAAGGGGAGGTAGCCCGGCCACTACAGGATGGGTGACTTTGGGACACAAGGCGAATGCTGATTGATTCACTTAGTATTAGTGAATCAAATGCAAAAAGTAACACTGATTTAGGCTACATTCCATTTGAACTCCGAACTGAAATTCCTTGGAAATTTCAATTGGAACACCCCCTCAAATTGGTATTCTTACTCGGGAAGTCGGAGGATCACACAACCCCAAGCTCTGAATTCAAGATGGCTGCACCCATCAACAGAACTTACGCCTGTAGTTTTACGCTGATTACTAGCACTTGAGACTTATTTGTAGCTCTTTAAAACCAGTTGTGCACACAGAACTATCCAAGCGCTATCGTGGACGTGTTGCTATGGTGTTTTAACACACACAACAATATAATGTGCCGTTATCCACAGATACCGCTGACAATTAAGCAGGCTAGAATCGGAGCTCGTTTCAGAAAGCAGGATTTCTTGCTTAGCCAGATTTAAGGTAGCCTGGGCTAAATGTAAGTGAACTAAGATAAAGGTTTTAAACGGGGGTACCTTAAATCCAACAAGTTATCCGGCTAAGCAAGAAATGTTGCTTTTTGAAACAGGTTACTGGTATTGCCAAATGGCTTTCCGACTTGCTGTACTGAACGTGGTTCTCTTAGGTGATGCCATTCCTAGCTCAGACTTCCGACCACCAAGGTAAATGGAACGCAGTATTATCTAAAGCGTAGATAAGTAGAGGAAGTGTTATACATACTCCTTGGGATTCAAATCCACAACCTTTGTGTTAGCACAATGCTCTACTTGAGCTAGAGCAGCACCTGTAATATTACTCTGTTGCTCTGCAGCATGTGCTTTACTGGTCACTAAGGCACCATTAGATACAGCTCAGTAAGCAAACATAAATTTACAAACGAGAGGAGGCCATTCGGCCCATCAAGCTCATTTGGGGAGAACTTAATAGCTCAGTTGTTAAAATCTTATCTAGCCGATTTAAAGGAACCCCGGGTTTTAGCTTGTGCTAAACTAGCAGGAAGACTATTCCATACTCTAACTACACGCTGTGTAAACTTAAGTGTACTTTGAAGGCCCTGATCTAGGGGCCAAATTACTCTGTACACCAGCTGACCCTGCACCCCAACACCAAGCTTCTCATGTGGTTTTGGACAAGTACACTTCTGAAATCAGAGGTGATTAAGGTGCCATTTTAAAATCAGAACCAAAAGCTTTGTCAGAACATGCAAGACGTACTTGAGAATAAAAACCAACTAGGCCTGGGGTGTTTGAGGCCTGTGTAGGTTCACTTACAAGCAGGTCACACAGGTGATCAGAGCTGGAGCTGAAGCCGCTGGTCTCCGAGTCGACGGGACTGCTGGAGCGAGAATCCAGCAGGGAGCGGGAGTCCAGGCGGCTGTTCAGCCGTGCCATGCTGGGGAACTTGTCCAAGAAGTCCGCTGCACCCAGAGGCTCATGGGAGGGGAAGCCCAGGGGTTTGCCTAAGATGTGGCTCAGAGGGCTACTCAGCATCCCAACACCTGGAGGGCACACAGGAAGCCATGGACACCGTAACAGAGGCGAGGTCATGGCAACAGATCTAAACTTGGCGAACTGGCTGCCAGCTGCAGGCAGAGCAGAGAGCCAGTGACAGGGCAGGGGCAGGACAAAAGTGTCACAGATTTAGCTCACGGCACATTTAAGCAAAAGCACGATGTGCTCAAATCTGAAGTTAAAAGGGACAGCGAGCTTTCATTCAAAGCATCTTCAGACCAAAGTTCAGCAAGATTACTTCGTTTTACGACATATTAGCATAGCAACAACTTTGCAAGTAGGTCACGCCATCCCAGATGGATTAAATCAGCACAGAGCAGAAACCCCAAGACCACATGTGTGTAGAACACAGCATGGAAGAGCTGAACACTCCCCAGCACCTGACAACCAGACAGGACATCATAATTCCCGTCCCTGGACTAACCAAGAGCTCCTTTCAGACGGGGACACCAGCTAGCTAACTGCAACACGATCTTCCTGCCCCCAGCAGCGTGATACAGCCTTTCATGCAAGAGGACCATCTGCTAATTTCAGACATTCAGATCTGGGCTGAGAAAAAGCTGCATATCCAGTAGATCCTTCTAGAACAGGAACCCAAACCAGATGCAAGCAAGTCCACTAAAAAGGACAGTGCAGAAGGCTTGTTCAGGAATGCATGCTACCTCTCAAACTCTTCAGAAACCACCCTTACACAATTAGACTGAATACTACTTCGCGCTCAAAACAGCCCCTTTCGGAAGGGGGCTTTCACATTGGGTACTCACCAGAGGGGGTGCTTGAATGGGCGGTGGGGTCGGGGTCCTGGCTGCTCCAGGGGCGGTCCCACCCTGACAGGCTGAGGGAGTGCAGGCCCAGGCCTAGGTCGTGGATATCAGGCAGCACCCGGGAAGGGTCTGGGCCAGCGCTGGGGAAGAGCATCCTGCTTCTCACAGCAGCCGAGTCCGAGTCCTGCAGCTCTGTGTGGGTGGGGGGAGGGGGGTGGAGAGGGAGCGTCAAGCAGGCAGGCTGCACCAGCCAGGGGGTGGGGGGAGCTTCTTTATTTTTAAAATCCTCCTGGCACTAACGGGAGGGACAGCCATCTCCTTCGGCCCCTGGGGTGTGCAAGCGAGTCGGGAAGCAGCCTGGTGACTGCACCTGCTGGGGGGGGCGGGCGGGGGGAGTGCCACCTGCAGCCATCGTGCACACAGACACGCAGAACTTCCAGAACAAACCAACTGCAGCACTGTCCCACCCCCAAAATCTCCAGAACTGGAGAGAATCCAACAACCAGTCCTGACTCAGCAGCTCTAGTGTGAGCAGGAAAGCCGTATCCTGGACTGAGGGTATATTTTTTTTTGGGGGGGGGGGGGGGGGGCGGTGGCTAGCTCATCATCTGACAGTCTGGATATCACCAGTCATTTACAAGCATCCACTATGCATCGCCACACCCAGATTACCAGGGTCTGGGGCAGTCAGACAATTCTTAAAATCAGGACCTATTGAGATACCATGGGGCTGTGGCATAAGGTAACAGCCACACCTATAGGTTGATCCGTACAGAAAACAAGACGCCAGCCTCTGAATAGCCATTCTACTGAATGTTTAAATTTGAAAGGGGGTACCGACTTAAATTACCAGCCTCTTTTGCAGTTCAAGTTGATAGAAGATGGCAAACCGGCCACATAAAATTCCAGGGCCCAGAAAAAAATGGCTTCAGCCAGGACCCCAAGACACAATCCCCACAGCGGCCCGACCCCCCACCAATGACAGCAGAGCACTCGTTTATAAAAACTGCTTTGATGCAAATAAACCAAACCCCACACACACTCATGCCACCAAGGGATATTGATTTCCCCCCCCCCACACACAATGAGAAATGTTCACATCTAATTTCCACACAACAGGTACTGGCTCAGTGTCTGGGCAGGACAAGACAGTGCAGCAGGAGTCAAGGCCCCAGGGTCCAATCCAAAAGAGCAAATGCAGAGTAGCCTATTGCAAACACCACAGCAACAGGCTATTTAAAGGTACTGAACCACTACAAGGTTTTTTAAAGGGTATTTTGGGGAAGGAACACAGTTATACCCTCAAAGCGCATCACTACTGTGCCATTTGAGAGCAAACGAGCGGCTTGGTCTGCTGTACAATTGTATGACATTAAGCATGTCTTTAAAGTACTTGCATGAAAAATGCCCAATAAGCAGAATAGTTATTCCTTCCCCTATATTTCCAATAAGTAAAGAAACTAACCACAAGTCACATCTTTACCCCAGGACACCCATGTATAGAGCTTACCTGACACGTGGTCACGCTTGGCCTTAGTGACCGGTGTGGTGCACACCCCCGTGAAATCCAAGGAGTTCCCCAACATCGTGTTCATTCTGCGGAAGACGTCCGCATTGCTGCAAGAGGACAGGGCCGGGGACTCCGTGTCCCAGCGATCTTGGACTCCAAGATCATCTTTTTGCTAATAAAAAAGTACACAGAAAGCCACCTATGATAACCAGAGCGAACGGCCCGTCGCAAACAGCCACCAGGAAAGGGTCACGTGATCCGGGGCTGACAATGACATGCGGCAGGACTTCGTTATTTGGCAGGGAACCTCACGAGTGTCTCAGGATACTGGAAAAACATCGAAACAAGGCAGCAATATTTCGGACATGGTCCTCCTGCATACGTCAAAGACGCCAAGTGCAGTCATGCGGCTAAGGCCTTTAACTTCGCTCATGGCGAGGTCATTTCCTAACATTTCGTATGCTAAAGTTAAAACTAACAAAGATTAGAGAAAGCTTTCTGCCTCTACCTTACTTCGTTATCTTAAACTTTGGTTTATGACCGAGCTCCCACTCAGTGAAGCCACGTCGCAAACAGCCAGCGCCATTAGCGATGCGAGGAAAGGGGCCTTAACAGTGATAAGCAGTGCGCACCTTCAAAAAAAGTACAATTAAAGCACGGCTATGGCTCATTTGGCGATAAAACAGGCCACCCAAAGCACCAATTGTGCAAAATTAAGTACAAACATATTTCATACACACCAATAAACGCAGCTAATTTCTAAAGTGATGTGTGTGGAAGATTTGTGCTGTATTTATTATTTTAAACGGCGTCGCCTGCAAAGAGATTAACAGGGGATTTTTTGCACGGCAGCGCTGCCATGTTTCTGCACACTTACCAGAGAAAAAGCCATGGTACTAATGAAGGGCAAAGAGCAGAGCAGCGCTTCGGGCAGCGGGGACGCGCGTGTGAGGCGAGCCAGGCTACTTAAGGAGGCGCGCATCGGGGGCGGCGCTCGTGATTGGAAAATCTCGAGTCCAGGAAGGAGGGGTGGCAGCTGCAATTAAGCAGGGAAAGGTGGGGCGGCGCAGGCAGCAAAGCACAGGGGAGGGCTCACTTTGGGGTGCCTCACTTTGGGGCGCGTCTCTCCAGCCGGTTTTATCTTGTTTTGTCTTGCCCGTGTTCGCCTGCTTGGGGAAAAGTAGTACGAGGCCACCGCTGGTCCATGTGATGAATGACAATCACTTGATCAGTCGATACATTGTATAGATGACGAAAAATATGGAGCTCTCTGCTGTTCGTGCGTATCTTTCCAGATTTTACATTTATTTGCTCAATAATTTTACATCTATCGCTCCCTTTTCTCAGAAATGCACCAAAAATAAAGGGGGCACAATGGAGAACATACTGTTAATAAATAAGTCAATCATGAAAGAATAAAAGTTTATATGATGGTTCCGTTTGTGATTTTCCAGTATTTTGCAGCATTTATCCAATTCCCTTATTTTTGTTTCAGCCAAAAAACTGTATATCTGGTTCATGTGCTAGCTGAAAACTTTACAATTATTTCATTACTTTACATGACCAATACGTATGATGCTCATAGTGACTGAGTAAGACCAAACTATGTATATTTTGATTTTGAATATCAATGTGTTAGATTCAGTACACAATAAATGTTAATCCTGAAAATGTATATTTCACAATTTTATCGGATAAGTATTAATTTAGTGTCAGTGTTAATGTGTTATGAACCAAACTTCAAATATGGAGAAGACATTAAATTACTTATGTGACGATTAAATAGCTTAATTGTCACAGTCACTCGATCCATTTTGTACGCCAGTCGTACACTATTTCGTCTTACAGTACGTTAGATTTCCCAAACCTCAAGGCAGTGAAGGCCAGATGTATATACATTTCATTAACGAGTTTTACATTTCAGATGGATTATAGAGGGTTTAATACCAAACACGTTTTAATTACAGACGCTTCTTTTGGTGAGACTAACTCTTTATTTGTGTTTTTCAAACCCATTCGTTTCATAGTAACACAATGTTTTGCAAAATAAATAGCAATTAACAACGCACGCACCACACACTTATCGATGTCACTAGGTCACCAGACTGGGGAAAAAGATGGGGACGAAGTAAAACAGACTGGACTGAATTTACGCTCGGCAAGCAAAGGGCAACCAAACGATGCAACATAAAGGTAGACGCACTTCAAGCCGGATGGGCAATGTCAGACGTGCCAGTGAACTAGCCCTGCTGTAACTGGAATGACTATACACCCCTTATGCCCCGATTTTTTTCAGGCCGGAAGGAAGAGAAGAGAATAAAGTCACCTAGCTCTCCTTCCATATCCCTGGATGTCAAAGGATGCAGTGAAGGTCATGTAATGTGTGAGGACTCAGATAATTCCAACCCCCTTATTAATTACAACTAACCAGGTATTTAAGGGTCAGGGAAATTATATTGTTTTTGAGTGTCTTTAAATGTAATACAACTCTTGCATTTTAAATGACTGCAAGATGAATGTGTTTATCATCGTTCCAGATCGATCAGCTTTTTAAAAGTACAACAGATTAGCATGTGTGCTGCAGAATGGAGTGGGGGGGCGGGGACTGGGCTTGGGATCCAGACATTTTGTAAAATATCATACTGTCTATTCTATTTAAAACAACCTATACACCCATGAGATTCAGGTATAGTATTGAACTATGCACTATTATTCTGAGTACTGGTAACGTGCTGTGTCTTTCTGAATTTTGTACGGTGACATGTGTGAATAAGGATAAACAATCCATTCAAATAATAATGGCATCCAGTACGCTATGTTCCTTTGTTGTGGACAAAACTGATATTGCCATATTGTTTCCATGTATTACGGTACATTCATGATTACTGTAACAATACAATTTGGGATTAAATGAAGTGTGACAGTCAGGGGCTTTGTAAGGTGGGAGGGGGTTTTGGGACAATTCTAAGGGTCCCTGAGTGAAAGGGATCCTAATAAATTTGGAACATACCGGTAATTGGATTGGTTTGGGGGCCCAAAATGATATGCTCCCCCTGACAGTAAACCTTGGTCAAATCTCAATGTGTCTATGCATTATCATGAATTCATTGTTACACCCACACACTCCATGTCACCCAGGACTTTTGTTTAAACACAGTCGTTTAGTCAAGCTTTTTAGAGGTTCTGAGTGGTTGCTGAAAATGTCAATCATTTATTATTATTGTGCAGGAAGTAGGTTCATAGCGTGACATAATTGTGACAGTGGGTTGAGGAGATTGTGGATGGAATGTGAAGGAGGTGGGGCAGCTATCAAGCAGTCCTTCACTGTGATAGGGCTTGGAGGATGTCCTTCACCAGCATGGCACCAATCACCATCTTCTCGCTGTTGATTGTCAGCTGGGTACTCCGGTACTCTTTTGTTTCCACAGTTACCAGGACCAGACTGCCACTGGACACTGTCTTCCCTGCGAACCTAAAGGCCAGCGGTGAGCCAGGAGTAGGAGGAGAAGGAGGGCTGAGTTAGGGGACAGAGGTTGGGGGGGGTCAAAGGTCAAAATTGGAAGTGAAGAAATGTGAAGGATAGGTGTGCATGTGTTAATTTAAATGTAATTCATACATTTTTTTCTGACTTTGACATTTTGTGAAATAATTATACAATTATTAATGAAACAAAATTAAACATGAGAACTAAGTTAATCTGTTCTTTCCTGGGACCATTGTTCTTTGTTCCAATAGAATACAAAGAGACCAAAATGTCTGATTTCACTCAAACCAGTAGCTAGCCAGTGCGCTTTCATGAAGAGCCGCAGGTTGCTCTGAGATAGGTGAGACACATTTGGGTAGAACAGAACTTTGGATAGAGCAGATGACATTGAAACTTACTGGGCAGAGACATACTAGAGCTTTTTGGCAGTTTGTGGTTCAGCAGGTTAAACCTCTGTGTCTGTGACCGGAAGGTCACTGGTTTGAATCCCATGCTTGACAGAATAGTCACATCTCTGTTGGGCCCTTGAGCAAGGCCCTTAACTCCCCCTTAAAGGATAAATGGTTCACCCTGTGCTCAGACCCCAAGATTCATATGTATGTATGTCTCAAAGGAGAGCATGATGGGATATGCAAGAATCATTTCATTGTAGAAAGAGATGTCCAGTTTGTCCCCAATTTGGTGTGGGGTCTGTGTAGGGCCAGCTCACCTGGATTCCTTGTCGGATGCAGTGGATACCCGGCCCAGGTTGGCGACGGAAGTGACCCTCTGCATGATCGTGAGGTCGCCCTTGCAGCTCTTGCTCAGCGTCAGACTCTCCTTAATCTCATTCATGCCCGCCAGCTGACCTGCTCAAGAAAGGGGAACAGGAAGTGACAATGGCATCAAGACTCCTCAGGCCTGCTATGGCCTGCTGGTGATGACAACCCCACAGCCGGATGGCACTGAATGACAAAGTACCGCACTCGTTCTGCGATCCATCAAAACATTACAAACAAAATCCTCATGTTAAGCCCCTAGTCAGTTCAGGTCACCTGATGCACATTCAGCCATATTGGAACACTGTAGCTCTCTAGATCAGCAGGTCTGAATAATTAATGGGAGCAGTGACATGTGACTGCAGGACTGTAACGGATCACTTATGGGAATAACATCCCCAATGAGCCCCAGAACAGGCACCCAGAAATGTGCCTCAGTAAGATCCAAAACATGAAATCGCCTTTTTATTCTTTGACTATATGTGACTTTGAGTTGCAGTTTCAGGCACTATCTTATGTGTCTGACTCGTCTTGTTCTGTTTAAAGCCATTTATAAAGTTTCAGACAGACACGTTTTTGTTGGATTGTATGTCTGCATATTTTGAAACGACAAAGTTTCACTTCACTTGATATTTGAGTTCTCAGGTCTTAATTACAGCCAAATCTTACATTGAAGTTACACATTTTAGATTACCATACTCACTGTGCAAGATGCTTCATCTGTGAGTCTCATACATAACCATCAAATTATGTTTAAAATGTAGTGCAAAATGTATACTAGGATTTGGGTGCCCAAAGCATTTTGACTCCATTCCAGTCCCTGTAGTGGGTCTTAAGGTTTCAATTGCATTAAAAGCCAGTTAATACATTCCAGTTAAATTTCAGTGCACCTGTGATCAGAGAGTATGGCGGCATGAACTCATGTGGACCGATATTGGCAGGTCAGTCATTCCCAGTGTCAGTGAAACCTTGCATTCTGGATGCACAAGATGCACAAGTTGATTTCAGGCACTGGATATTACAGGGTACTGGCTCAGGTAAAAGTATGGGGCTTTAAGTTGTTATGGGATGTGGGGGGCTTGGTGGTGGAGACTGGGAGCAGAGGACCAGGTGAGGTGAATCTGTGGTATTTGTCAGGAGATCCTTAAATGCTTCTCTATCACTGTTGGACAGTGTTTGTATGGGAAATAAGACCAAGCATGTGACAAGTTCAAAAGAACTGCTGCATCCACTTAAAAGGTTGCTATGCTACAGCAGAGAAAGGGTAATGAGGGTAATGACCCATTCATAGCATTTGTGACATTACTGAAGTGTTGGGTCAAGGTGAACCAACTGCTGAAAAACATCATCCAGTTTTTAAATAGACTTTTGAATAGACTTTGTAGTGTAAAAGGAAATGAATGAACAAATTGCTTTTAAGCCATTATGCACAGAAGGATTCTTGAGGCAGGGCACTGCTAGAGATGTTGGGCTCCAGGAATGCATATCGTATTGGGCTCCCAACCCAAACCAATCTAATTATGTTCCGAATTTTTGGAATTATCCTAACGATGTCCCAGTTAGGTTGCAGGTCGGAGCCAGTTCGCCAGCTCTTCCGTCCGCTGCGGCCACCTGTCTCACCTTGCTTTTTCTTGAAGTCGTGCTCCGTAATGAAGAATGGCATCATCAGCTCTCCCACAGGGGGCTGGATTGACACGGAGAACTTCCTTGTGTTAGAGCTGGAGGAGGGAGCGGATAGGGTGGAAAACCATTGTGAAATTAGCCATAGCTACATGCAAATGCCTCAAATGTGCTCCTGGGATACAAACACTTATATGACGATTGCCTTCTTTAGAGACTGCTGGTCACATGGTACGACATATGTGACCTAGAACATTCCATTGTCTGTTAGTAATAGATTCATGATTGAATTACAAATTTGGTCAGACCCTGTTGAGTTCCCAGGCTTTAATGAGTGTTAAAATGTTACAAAACAATGGAGATTGGGTCCAAACTGTCCGAACTCTGATGGTTTGTATTTTACTAGAGCACACCATTCCAAATAAATATTTCACCTTTATGCCTTTATCACAGTGATAATATACAAGATCATGGGAGTTTTACTTACACAAAAATGTTATGAGGGCAGAAGAAAAAATGATTGGTTCAGAGAGATAACCAATCAGATTGTGGAGGAGGTGGGTTAAAGCAACTACAGGAGGTGGGACAAACCAATCAGATGTCTTGGTCTTGTCTCCTCCAGTTGCTTGGACCAACAGGAGTAGGTGTGCACTCACCAGAGCAGGAAGTTCGCTGCCTGGGTGGAGTCGCAGAAATCGATGCCCATCACCACGGTGACCGTCTTTCCGGGCTGCAGCAACTCTGAGGACGTCAACATTGGACAAAAGGAAGAATCTGTCACCATAGTAACCAAATATGCAGGGAAGCAACAAAGCGATGGCTAAACTGTGCACGGGAAATGCATCCCACTTATCAGGGGTTTTGTCGCCACTGGGCCAAAATGGGAACTTTTTTTTCTTTTCTAATTTGCTGTCTGGAAGCTTGGGTTTTACTTTGTTGTTTCTTTACACTTGAAACAGTATATCCCTCACAGTGAGTGTTCTGTTACCGCTATACTGTAAAATAGCCAGTAAGGCCTTACAACTCAGAGCTCTGTTCCATTGGTGCAATACCTATATCGTTACAGCTGGAAATACCCATAAACAGTCCCTTTCATGAATCTAAACAGATGCTGTAAATGGACACATAACTCAAACCAGCACAGAGGAGATTGTGGGTTAGGACGTTGTGCCTGTAATTAAGAGGTTGCTGGTTCAAATCCCAGGGCTGGCAGAGTGATGTCACCATTGGGCCTGTGAGCAAGACCCTTAATTCCCAATCTGACCTGCTTTCTCAGTTGTACATCGTTTTGGATAAAAGCATCTGCTAAGCAGATGAAATGTGATGTAGTATCGATGCTGAAGCCGAACGAGGCTGGCTGACCGATCTCGGGGAACTCCTTGATCCTCATGCCGGACTGCAGCCGGGGTTCCTCGATGTGTAGGGACTGGGCCTCTACGTCCATGTTGTTGGTGAACTGCAGCTGCACCGTGACCATGTGGGGGTCTGCCCCGAATGGCTGCCGGCTGAAGCAGTAGTCCACGGCCAGGCCCTCGCCTGAGAGCCGGTGCAGCAGGACGTGGGTCTTCAGTGAGTCCAGTGTGAGGCTTATGGTCTGTGGGTGGGGGTGGGGGGGAGGTTACATGTGGCCGGCGTGCATGTGGTTCCTCTGTTATGCTCATGAACTTATCTCCATATGCCAAGGTCTGTCTGTCATAACCCTCAACCTCCCCGCAGACCCTATGACATCGTAGCCAATATCTAGACCACAAATTACAGACCACCCCTCCATTACACATATATATGATACAGGGATAAACAAATGTCAATTTATTCTAGTCTTTCCTGCCATATTAGGAGTACTGTATCTTTAGATCCAGTCATTTCCATTTTCAGTGTTTTCCAGATGGATATTTTCCAGTCACTTACAGGAGGGGGCAGCGCAGAGTCACTCAAGGAGAGACCTTCTAGATCTGCTACCAGGCTATTGGCCTTATAGCTGTGGACAGGGCTGGACTGATTGGATGGTTTTGGGGCAACTGTAGGGAAAAGAGGGAAGGCAGAGTTATTATTATTATTATAATTATTGCTGTTGTTCTTGTTCTTGTTGTTAATGCTGTTTTTATATAAAATGCACAGAATTCACCTATTCAACCTGCATCATAATTATTCAAATCCTCTGGGTTTTGATGTGTCGTATCTGTAGTACATGTACAGGGTGGTTATAAACTGCCATAAGTGAATAAATGTCCAGTAAATGTAAAGCTAAACAGACCTACTCTCCTTAGTAGGACTTGCACTCTCGCTCCGGATGAAGCAGTGGGTGTTTGAACTACTCCTGTTAGGTGTTACTCACAATCATCCAGATCGAGCAGAGACACTTGTTTCTCCTCTTGCTTAGGATGTTCTGATACTTTGGAGGAGGTGGGCTGAAAAAAAAAAAGAAATACAGTAGTAGAAAAGACCAGAAGCCACTTGAATGAAGTCAAGCCCTGACTGTAATTACATGCCGGGTGAAGAACTTCTTCAAGGGCTTAATGCCGGGGCTCTGAGGAGAGGCACTCAGAGCGACAAACAAATTTTGATCCTGTGATCTCGCTTGGAAACCGTCCACGGCCGGTATTCACTGTCCTTGGCGTTTACATCAGAGCAGAACATGGCTAGAAAACAAGAAACTGAACTAGGAGGTGAATTTGACATAAAGCTTGCTTCACCACTAACATCATGAATACCTGCTCTCAGTGAGGGGGTCATGCAACACAGACCCAAGGGCTAATTTAAAGGTGTGCATGTATTAATTTAAATGTAATTCATAGATTTTTTTCTTTCAGGCTGTAACACTATTTTGTAAATCTCATGCTTCACATCTCTTTTGGGCCCTTGAGCAAGGCCCTTAGCCCCCAAAATGCTCCAGGGGGCGCCAGATTTGAAGAAAAGTGCAATTTATCCACCAGAAAATAATTGCTCCCACAGGGCAGCTCTTGACGTACGTAAAAGCAACTTAAGTAAATCTGGACTGATGCAAAAAAAAAAGAGTTTACGGAAGCACCAATGTTAGCTAATTTATACTCTGTCCTTTTGTTTATTTAATGTGTTCTTTAGTATGTATTACTAATATGTTTTTGGCTTATATATTTTGCTATAAGGTGTATTTAATGGTATGAGAAGGTAAATCCATCTTGTGGAAAATTTGATTTACATGAAGGTTTGTGGAACGGATTACTTACGTTAGTTGATCATTTTCCCAGAGTTTGGTTCCATAGCCGCCTGGTTACAGGTAACATAAGCACTACGCAGCTGCACTGTCCTTCAGAGTGTTCTGGCTGTGTGTGTGTAGCGTGTGCACTGTGTGCAAGCACATGCATTCTACTGTGGCGTACATGTGCACGTGCACGTGCATTGTGTGAGTGTGTCCGTGCGACGGCTCCCACCTTCGCAGACTTCTTGCGCTTGGTCTCTGTGTCTGACTCCTCGTCAGACTCCGACCCGCTGCTCCCCGACCCGCTGCTCTCCTCTAACTCAGACTCGGACGCACTCTTCGGCTCCATACTCTTCTTCTTAGCGGTCTTCCTCTCCTCTCTGTCGCTCTGTTCGCTGTAGGAGGTTATGGGGGTGGAGGTGAGAGCAGCACCCCATGCATTTCTTGCTCACCATGATTAAACAGGCCACAGCTGCTTCTGGAAGTGTTTTGGTCACAGATCCAAAGCAGCAGCTGTGGAACCTAGGATACAACTGCAAGACCTTTTCTGGGACTTGAACTTGCTAGCACTTGGTGATAATTCCTCACCTCTCGGCGCTCTCTGGGGCAGCCTTCTTGGATTTCACCTTGTCCGGTTTCCTTTTGGGCTTCTCCTCCACCTTCTCTTTCTCCTCCTCAGACCCTGAACCCCTCTCGCTCTCCTCACTCTCTGATCCAGAACCACTATCCTCACTGTCACTGCCACTCCTGCTGGCAGACTCTGACCCAGATCCCTTGCTGGATCCTGGACCCGGGGGGGGGGGAATACGAGGCAGGAGAGTTGGATGAGGGACTGGTCTTCTGAGAACGCTAAGGTAGGTATTTCTGCATAGACTATTTGAGCACACGGTATGCGACTTAAAGCAGGATAATGGGAAATAGGAACCACCGGAACATTTGGTGTCAAGTACAGAACATCCTTCTGAACCTGTTATAGCAACTTTGGGATGAGCTAAATAAATCCAAATGGTCGTTAAGGTCAAAGTTGCACTAACATGCCGTTAAATTATATTCATAAACGCCTGCTGTCCCATTACTGCAGGAAGGATAATGAAATCCGCCAGGGTGTCATGGCAACACGGTCAATATCGGTTACCACTGTCGGCCGACTCTCTGGGCCCATATTCCCCCTCAGAGTCCGAGTAGAACGCCTTCTCCGCCTTTTTCTCCTTCTTCTTTTTCTCCCGACTGCTAGTCTTACTCCAGTCTGGGGCCTGCCAGAATTGTGAGAAGACAGTCAGTCACATGAGACCTTTCTGACAAACATGGGGAGATGAAAGGGGACACAGAAGGTGGACTGGTTCAAGAAGTCCTGGACCCAACGCAGAACATGATAATGTTCTCCAAAATAGGTAGGTGGCAGGTGCATTATGGGTAAAAAGGGGATGCCATCTTTGCTGAAAGTGTAACAACTTACAGAGATGTGTTCTGATAAAGGGTTCTCCCTAAGATACCTACGATTGTAAGCGTGATAAGCAGACTGGAACTAGGAATTACTAAACCATTCAGAAAACCGTGTTGACATCAGATTACTTGTGGAGTTTGCAGTGTGCAGTTTTACTTATACAAAAATGTTCTGAGGACAGAATGAAAAATGATTGGTTCAGAGAGAAAACAAGTCGGATTGTAGAGGAGGTGGGTCCATGCAACTAGAGGAGGCAGGGCCAAGACATCTGATTGGTTGGGCCCACCTTCCATGCAATCTGACTGGATATCTCTCTGAACCAATCATTTTTCATTCTGCCCTCAAAACATTCTTGCGTAAGTAAAACTCCCATGAGACTTCATATTGTTGATTCCAGATTATATGCATTGCTATAAGTTTGGCTTGCCTCTTGGATGCATGAAATGAAGGCGGACACTATGATTTGCGGACTTCTTGTGGAGCAAAGCACAGGCTAAACTGGGCCAATAGAAACACGAGCTCTTCACCACCAGCCGACTGTGATTTCGATTGTGAGCCATTCTAGCAGTGCAATAGCCTGGCAAACAGGAGGGAGACAACTGCTAAAATGGGTAAAGGAAACATTTGGGTCAGGGTCATATTGTTAATTAGATACCCAGAGCAAGGATGACAAGAATAGGGCTGTCAGCACTAATATGAGGCCCAGAAGCTGCAGGGAGCACGACCACAGAACATGGTCAGCATACGAATGGCCACTCAATAGCTGACCCAACACAACAAAGGAATTGACAGTCAACAGACAGTGACTCGGCAATGTGGCGAGCCTTGGGGGGGAGGGGATCCAAAGCTCATGGGATTCTACAATGCAAAGATGGAAGTTTCAGTGTAATTACCAAGTCATCACACTCCACTGCACACAGAAGGTCAGACACCTGTCACGGCTACTGCTACCCCCAAGCCTGCAATGGACTAATTGCCAAATTTCTCAAGGTTTCACACCTTAAAATAAACCTTTTAATGTGCATCTGCAGTGATACGGACATTATATATACTTATTCCAATAAGGAGCATGAAAGAAAGTTTTAGATACTTATAGTAATAAAAAAGCTGGTATTTGTAGTAATAACATAAATATATATACTTTCCATAAATAGAAAAATGTTTGACAAATGGCATTTTTTGCAACATTGAATTCTAGAATGTCTAGACAAGGAGCAGTAAAGCCAAGCTTCACAGCCCCATGTGCTGCCAAACAGGGCTGGTCGTGTATCAAGGGACACAGGTTCGAATTTGAGCTTGGCCAGTTCTACTAACAACCATATCAGGTAGACTGAACTAGTTTCTTGGGTGGTGTGTGGTTCAGTCTGTTGGCATGCTGTGCCTAAGATCAGAGGGTTGAAATTAGTTCAAATCCTTGGATCAGTAGAGTGATTTCATCACTAAACCTCTGAGCAAAGCCGTTAACCCCCACTGCAAACTGCTAGGACTAGCTAAACCTGCTTTGTCAAAATGTGTGCAGCTCTGAATAAAAGCATCTACTAAATAAATATAATATATATCTTGGTTGTATATTTTCATATGGCTCAGATAACTGAATTTCATCTGCAGCTGATTTTTATTGGTTCAGGGAGGTTATTTTCCTGTTATTGTCTCTAAAAACCATAATTGTGGACTTGGGTGTGGAGATTAAAAGAGACCCAAACGTCATCTAATGAACAGCCTAATAATTTGGGCACATTATTGGGAAAGAAGAGACTTGGGCAAACACACTGCACTCCAGAAAGGGGGCGGCACCTCTCGCCAGTCTCCTAGCAGGCCGATCCGCCCCTCGGTGTTCGAAATGGTTTCCTCTAGCTGCAGAGCAGGGTAAACAAAAACAGTATCAATAAAGGGGAATGGCCGGGGTCTGTGAGACCCCGCCCTCAGCGAGATGCTATGTGATGATGGGTTTATGAACGAGAGGGAGAAATGTAATAAACTAACTCTGGTGTGTTCAGTGAATTGTTCAGTATGAAAAACTGTTTTAAAATAATTGGTGCGCAACTTTGATTGGCTACCAGATGCATCGCTGAAGAATGAGATGCTTCAGGTTAGGTTGGAATTTGTGGAAGGGGACAGTTCAGGGTGGAATTCATCTCCACAGTATTGTGTCTCTCCACAGGTGAGAGGTTGATCTATGTATTCATGTCTTCCACCAGCAAACAGGCCATATATACACCCACAAAGAGAAATACACCCACAACCCTCATCCAACACCCCTCAAGAGTAAATGCCTATGACCCGTCTCTCACCCGCTCTGCTCGGTAAAAATGTGCGAAAATGCAGAGGATCCCTCACCTCTACGTTGCGCACGGTTGGGTCTGGGGCCTCCTCCGGCCAATCGGGGAGCTCCTGGTAGCCGAAAGCTTTGGTATTGAGCAGGTGGGAGAGAGAGCCTAGCTGGTACTGATCTCTATCTGCAGAATACATAGGGACAGAGCCACAGGCATCAGCTCACGTCGGAACAACACATGTGACGTCTCACAGCCTGTCACAGATAATCCTGGATAAACATACACTGCCTGGTCAAAAAAAAGTTGCCATTTGAATTTTGTGTTGGACTGCCTTTAGTTTTGATTATGACGTACATTTTTTCATGCCATTGTTTCCCCAAGTTTATGCAACATCTCTGCATTTAGTTTAATCCATATTTGCATCCATTTCTCACTGAGATCAAAGACTTTCAATGGGGTTAAGGTCAAGACCCTGTGGTAGCCGATTCATGTGTGAAAATGATTCCTCATGCTACTGAACCACTCTTTGACAATTCAAGCCTAATGAATCTTGGCTTTCTCGCCCTGGAATATGCCCATGATATTAGGAAAGAAAAACTCCATTCATGATGGATGGAGGGGTAACCTGGCCAGTCAGTAGATTCAGGCACTCAGCTGACTTCTGTCAGCACCTGTTGTCCTAGTCTTTCGTGTCCCTTCTCCGTTTGGCCAGCAGGTGTCGCTGGCCATCCTGTCCCTCCTGTCACCCTTTGTGTTTCCTCCTGCTCCCTGTCAGCTCAATGAGTTGAGCATGCGACTGTCTGTGAACCCCTCTGTCGTGTGTTCAAGTTCTGCCTTAGTTTTTGTAGTTTTGTAGAATTTGCTCCCTTGTGTTTCAATTGAATCAGTTTTCTAGTCCCTGTGTTTTGATTTGTATTCAGTTTTGTGGTTTTTTTTGCCTTTGTGCCCTTGATTGTGTTTTTACCGGTCTGTCATTCTCAGTGTTAGATTCTGCTTCCTTGTTTCTGTCAGTTTCCTAGTTTTCCCTCCCAGTCCCTTGATTTAATTATTAGTTTCATCTGTGGCCTGTTTTCCCAGCCCTTGATAATTAATCTCACCTGACCTGTGTTAGTCTTGTTACCCCTCTGTTCAATTCCCCAGTGGTTCATTGTTTGATGTTGTATGCTGTGTTCTTTGTTGCCTGCCTGCCTGGACCCATTTTGTAGTTAGTCTTTGTTTATCCCCGTTTACTTTTGACCCCTCGTGTTTTCTGTTTTCGTTAATAAACCCCTTCTGTTTCCCGCGAGCCACAAGTGGGTCGTCCACATTTCTGTTCCTGCCTGCACCATGCCTTGTCCCAGTGCCAAACCCGCCCCGGATCCGTGACTTCACTTCACTTTATTGCTGCATAACGTTGCTGAGCTGTAATAATGATCCAGTCATTGGCTTTTTAAGTATTTGCCGATTTAAATTCAAATGGCGACTTTTTTTTTTTGGCTGGGCAGTGTATTTTCATCACGGTAGACTGTCAGAGGCGTAACTGTGGGCGGAATCCTGTCAGGAGCGAGTAGCCAGCCGCGGATGAGAATGTGGGAAATCGTCTGACCAGGTACAAAAAAAACCCAAAACACAACACAGTGGGCAGTACAGCCATTAAAGATGTGGCTTAATGGCTGTCTGTTCAGGACACAGTTTGCTGGTACAAAGAAATGGATCTTTTAAATTTATATTATAAAATGCTAATAGTCCTAACATTAGCAGCATATTCTAATGGGGCAACTGCTGGCTCCTCTGGTGAGCTTCTGTGTGTCCCCCCCCCCCCAAGTTGAGCTCACCGTCGGAGTCAAAGTGAAATTAACTGGTGAAGCTTGCCTTGCGCTTCACATGGACCTGTACTGCTGCCCGAACAGCCATTTTGGTTGCGAGAAGTAAATACGAAACATCAGAATGTTCCAGAGCCGGTTGGGTCTGCTGGTACCTTTGAATGGAGAACTGAGGACGGGAGCAGGCTTCAGCGCCAGGAAGAGCTTCTTGGCGTACTTGCTGAGGGCACCGCCCTTCTCGATGGGCACGACGAGCTGTCGGATGAAGCGCGCACGGTCGCGGATGTCGTAGTTCTGGTCGTACTTGGCCAGGTTCAGCACATACTGGGTGAGGAGTTTAGTCTGGGGGGGTGGGGTGGGGTGGAGATGACAAGGGCATCAGGAGTCTGCACTAGTTTGTTCAAGCAACATACAGTATCAATCAGCAAGGGTGGGACCGCAGGGACACTGATGTAAGAAATACAAATTGATAAAACGGGACCCCCCCCCCCCCCGTTAAAGTGCTACATCGCTAGATTAGCAGCCTGGTTCAGAAGGGCTGGTCAGCAGACAACACAGGATCGGGCCCCCGGTCATGAACGTAGGGGAGCATTGGCTAGGCTAAGACCTGCGCTTAGGATTCATTCATCCATTCATTCATTCATGCCATTGTGACAAAAATATAGATGGGGCATATACATGGGCGGGACCACAGCTGGCCTCAGCTGGAAGGTGATTGGCCCCCAGAGTGCCCCTCCCCCCTTCCCCATCACTCACCGATTCACTGGCTAATGACAATGCTGGACCCCCTGTGCATAAAATTTCATATTATGCAAAATACCAAAGATTAGGTCCACCCAGAAATCCCCCCCCCAAAAAAATTTAAAGCTTCAGAATGTTTTCACTGACTGGTAAAATCTGATGTCATTTCCTGTGTACTTTTCCCCATTAACACAAATGCTATATTGTACGGTCTAGACAACCTAGAACCTCTTAGGGAGCATTCCGAAGACATCTACAGTGAACAACACAACACAAGCCTTCGGTTTGTTCTGCTCCACAACTCCTCCCTAAAATAACCAGCAATAGCACCTCTGCAGAACCTCCTCTGATTTATGAATCCGAACCGTCTATCAAAAGACTTTCTCCAATGGCGGCACAATCTGGGTTCAGCACCATGGACAGTGTCTGACACAACAGGTAGCCACATTCATCCTGAAACACCACACCACTCGCATAAGGACAATACTCAAGAAAGATTCTTAGCATGTTGTCTTTGGTTTGCCGTGTTTTCTACTTCCTGTTATGTGCTGTCTATGTGAACAAAGTTTTCTATGATGGCTGCACTGTCTTTGGAATTTACATACTATTTAATTTACTGTTATGATAAAGGAATTTATAATGAGATCATTTAGTATAATCATAACTATATATGCATTTAACTTTATTTTAGAGATGGTAGCTGTTGGACGGGGAAGCCGTCCCAGCGTATCCACGGTGACTGCAGCCTGGTCACCTGCTTGGAGTTGGTCACGTAGAGCTTAGCAGCCAGATTGAGGATCTGCAGCTTGACGATGTCGTCCTCACTGGTGAAGGTCTTGGCCGTCTTCCTCAGCACATCCGGGGCAATCTTGGGCACGTGCTCGCAGTACTCGCCGATGAGCCACAGGATGCTGGCCCGCGCCATGGGCACCTGGGCAGACAGGAAGGGGCGGGGCTGTCACAGGAAGGGCTGTGGGAGGGAGATGGTGGGAAGGAGAACGGCTCCTTCTCTGTCGTCAGCGCAGTACGACTAGGAGATTTGTCACATTCTCGGTTTGTCGGATGTGAACCATGAGGGTGGGGCATGCGGGGTGGGGCTGCCCGTGACATTTTGAAGTACATACTACAGCAACATCAAGCCATGCTAATGAGTAAGAATTTAAACCATAAAAAACAGCGAAACAAATAGAATAAACTAAAAGCAAATGTATAACCAAGCAATAAATCACTAGTATTACATTTTATTTATTTAGTAACATACATTTCCTTTTTTTTGAGAAAGCAGGGTCAGCCAGACCCTGGGTTAAGGGTCTTGTTTAAGACTCCAATGCTAAAATCACACTGCTGACCCTGGGATATGAACCAATGACCTTCTGATTATTGACACAGCTTGCAAACCCAGTGAGGCACATGCTGTCCCCCGTCACACCTCGATTACCCAGGAAAAGGCATTATAGAGGATATTAGAGGAGGGCTTCACCTGGATGTTGTCTGTGAGCTTCGCCATATGCTTGATGATGTCATTGTGGTGATCCGGCTGCATCTGAAGCAGCTTCTTGATGACCACCACTGACTCCGCCACCACCAGGTCTGCAGCAGACACACCAATGGTGAGCGTGTTACACACTGTAGTGGAAACAGCTTCACAGCCCCCCTTGGTGCACGGGGCTCACCATCGCGGTTGGACATCAGCTGCACCAGGCCGTTCAGACAGGGCTCCCGCACCTCGCCGATGTTGGTGGCACAGCGGCCGATCGCCTGGATGCTGGCGGCCACAAAGTCCTTGTCCATGCTGGTGATGTATGCCTAGGAATTCAGACGCGGCATATTAACCCCCATGCAGTGCTTCATGGGACAGGCGCCCGGGAAGGAAGGGCCAGCTGTTTCTGCATTACCTGAAATTCCCTCAGGATTACCGAGATGTTTGTCTCATTTGCCAAATTGGTTAACACTTCCAGCTGCAGAGAGACCAAAAGAGGCTTCAGCGGAAATGCAGGTACAATCATTTTCCAAACCACCAGCGATTGGTCCTGTTTGAACATCTCTCCCGTTCTGAGGCACTATGCCTCCTCTTGGATCTTGTTTGTATGATCAGTCATGTTGGATTAAATTTACATCCTTTTTTGCCAATGACAGCAGTGTCTTTACTTCTTTAAATAAATTGCATCATGCTTGTTGTTGTCATCAACTGCAGTTATTGGAATGTGGCAAAAATATTATAGGACAGTCATACCCTGGACTGGAATATTCAGAATTCACAACAGAGAATTTAAATCTGGATTGTAAATAGATATACAACAAATATCCATGCAATGAAATAAAAGACCTTAAAAGCTAATCATCATTCTAATACTGCTTTGATGGTGACCTTCAAGATTTTGATCTGGGTGGGATCCGTTGACCGGATGTAGAAGCTCTTGAGATAAGGTTCAAACATCCCCTGCAAAACAAACAATTCTGAGCAACACTTAGTAACACCTGTGCAGCGGAGGGGAAGTCACTGTCCGGAACATTCCATTCTGCTCATCTTAGTAACCTCAGTGGCATACGCTTAGCATGTCAAGGTCAAAGTCGAGTTTAGCACATTTTCATAGCCAAAGGTCATTCGCGGTGCTTTACAGAGAGACCAGGCAAGAATGCTAACTGCTAGCAGGGTTAAAGCCAGACGTGTTTCCAGAAACACATTAGCTGACAGCAGATGATTTAGCCCTCCGAGCTTAAACAGCTTTATTATCTGAACAGTGCTTCCTCCTGAAGGTACCCGTCTGGCCACTCACCTTTCGCTTGATGGTCATGGTCGCCACGTTCTGCAGCACGACAAACTGCACTTCGCTGTGGGACAGGGAAGCATGGTGAACGCAGTCACCCATGGCCATTCTGATCACGTGGAAATGCTGCTCTGATAACTACCTCAACATGCCATTACAAAGGGTGGAGGCATTGGAGAAAACACTACTATACTATAGATACATTAAATAAATGTACTTAAAATACATTTAATATTCTTAGAATGCATTATATCAATGATACTTTTATGGGAGTCCTTGGAGTCCTCCTACCCCTTATGAGACCGTGACTCTCCTATCCCCTTGGACTGACCTGTGACTCCTCCTACCCTTTATGAGACCGTGACTCTCCTATCCCCGTGGACTGACCAATGAGTCCTCCTACCCCTTATGAGACAGTGACTCTCCATCCCCATGGACAGACCTGTGACTCCTCCTACCCCTTATGAGACTGTGACTCTCCCATCCCCGTGAAGTGACCTGTGAGTCCTCCTACCCCTTATGAGACCGTGACTCTCCTATCCCAATGGACTGACCTGTGACTCCTCCTACCCCTTATGAGACCATGACTCTCTATCCACATGGACTGACCTGTGAGTCCTCATACCACTTATGAGACCATGACTCTCCATCCCCGTGGACTGACCTGTGAGTTGTCCTAGCCTTTATATAACCATGACTCTCCTATTCCACTGGGCTGACCTGGGAGTCCTCCTACCCTTCATTAGACCATGATTCTCCAATCTCTGTGGACTGACCTGTGACTCCTCAAGAGACGCACCAGGGCCTTGGCAATGACGACCACCTCGGCTTTGGGAGCCAGGTGGAAGTAGAGCTGGGCTACAGCCATCACCACCTAGGGGAAGATGGAGACTCATTTCTTGCCCTTAAGTACTCAAACAAACTTAAACAAACTCTTGGTCTTTTATGGCCCTAAGACATGGCCACCGCTGGCCCTGATCTATATGTCCTGGCACTCACAGCTGCATTGCGGCTCTGCAGTAAGGGTTTGGTGTTGCGCAGAAGCAACCTGTGGTCGGGGTCCATCACATGGGCCTTCTGGTCAGACTCCTCATTCTCTCCCTTATCGTCTTTGCCGTCCTCCTCATCGGAGGCATAGAATACCTTCTCATCAGTCTCCTCTATCAGGGTGTCCTGCAGGGACAGGGTGGGGGAGGGCGGATTCACAGCGTCTCACAGGGGATCTGGAAAGGAGCCATTAGAATGAAGCGGGCGGTGGAGACTCACGTTGGCATTGGGGTTGAGGAATTGCGTGCGGGAGTAGCGGGTGAGCATGTTGATGATGACCACTTGGCCCCACTCCTCTACGTCGACGAGCAGGTTGCACAGCTTGCGGAAGTTCTTGTGGATGAGGTCGATGCGGTCGGGGCAGACCTCCTCGAAGGCCATCACCACGCTGCCCGCCACCAGCTGTGGGGGGGGGTAGGTGGGAAGGGGGGGTGCTCTCAGGCCAGATGCAGAAGGATCTGCTTGAAAGTCCGTGTTTTATCGGACATTACAGATGCTGAGAGGTTTGGATCACAGAAACACAGGACCTGCGTGAACAATGTCCCAACGGCCTATTCAACACATACATGTAGCGCTTACACATGTAAATACTAAGAAATGCATTCCATAGGCTCACTGCACTGCTGCCTGTCACTTTATGGCACACTATTCATGGATATTTATGATTATTTCTCTCTTTGTGCTTATATGCAGTTTCACAGTCTGGCCAAAGAAGCATTTCACTGTGAAATGTGCTAAGTGTGTGTATGTGACTAACAAAACTTTGATTGTTTGTTTGTGGTATTTACTATTACTGATGTCATCCACCTTCTAACTGCTTATTCTGATTATGGGGAGGAGGGCTGTCCCAGGTGTCGCAGGGTGAGACTGGGGGAACCCTGAACAGGATGCCAGTCCATCACAGGGCACGGGGCTGGGTACACCCTGAACAGGATGCCAGTCCATCACAGGGCACGGGGCTGGGTACACCCTGAACAGGATGCCAGTCCATTGCAAGGCACAAGGGTGGGTACACCCTGGATGGGATGTCAGTCCATCACAGGGGTGAGGCTGTGGGAACCCAGGATGGGACGCCAGCCCATTAAGGTCAAGTACACCCTAGACAAGATGCCATTACGGGGCAGATACAATAACACACTACAGCCAATTTGAATGCACCAATTTCCCTAACAAGGCGAGTTTGTCAGCGGTAGGAGAGCCGCACAATATGAGGAGAACCGCACAATATGAGGAGAACCACACAATATGAGGAGAACCACACAATATGAGGAGAACCGCACAATATGAGGAAAACCACACACACAGAGCAGAGGCAGGATATGAATTTCCAACTCCAGAGGTGCGGGAGCATCTTGCTCACTGAGCCAGAGTGCAATTAGACATATTAGCAATTTAATTAGAGACTTGGCTTCCTCGGGATGCAGATACAGAATAATTACGTTGGCAGTGAGCTGAGGCAGCCGCTCCATGAGAGTAATGAAGCGATGAGAGATCAGAGTAATAAACAGCACTGTCGGGTGCAGCACTCACTGTCGTTTTGTCAGCGAGCAGCTTCTCGATGACCTCGATCAACTGTTCCTTCAGGTCCGGGTCCAAGCTGCGGGCAAAACCAGAAGTGCAGATGTGAGGTGCTAATGTTCCTTCATACTAACGGCTACGCTTTGTGTGTGATGTGGCTGGGCTTCACAAGGAATCTTACTTCTGTGACTCTAGGACAGTCTGTGGTGAGACTGCATGTGAAGGGACTCTCTGAAAGGACTCTCTAAAGGGACTCTCTGAAAGGACTCTCTAAAGGGACTCTCTGAAAGGACTCTCTAAAGGGACTCTCTGAAAGGACTCTGCTGTAACATTCTTGGGTAGCACCTTATAGTGGGCAGATTCTCTGCATTAGGACTGTGTTAGGAGTCCTGGCTGGGAATCTTTAACATTTATCCCAAGCTTGTGGATTAATGGGGTGACAGCAAAGCACTGTGGATGTGAAGGCTATTATTCTAGAGCTTCCTGGGTTGGGTGTGTTAGGTGACCATTGTGCCCTTAACTTCCAATTGCTCCAGGAACTGCCTGACTATGCTTTCTCAAGAAGTATATTACATGTATGTCTGGGGAGTAAGACCATGCAGAACCTGGGGTCATTGCAGGAACTTTTGAACTGGGGGGCATATGAGGGGCTGTAATTCATACAGATGGGTAAACCTGATCATTAGCCAATGACATACTTTGAATCAGTGAGTGACAGGCGAGGATGCGTTCCGAGGACCAATCAGCTATCAGCTGGCATCTGTGGCCATGTGGCCCTGCCCCTGTATACACCCCCCTGTAGGGGCCATACCTGTAAAGCTTGGGGATAGCATGGGCGGCCGTCTTGCGCACGTAGGGTGACATGTCAGACGCGGCCTCCTTGATGGCCAGCATCATGATGGGAACGATGATGGTGACCCGGACACTGGAAAGGACTCGTAGGGCGCTGGCCCGAATCAGCTGGTTGGGGTCCTAGGAGAGCCAATGACACTGCTGAACACTATGATTGTAGACTGTGTAACACACTGCTGGACCTGAACACTAATGCACAGGTTTCCAGTATTTGGTTGATCTGTTGGTTTAACAGCCAATAGGATAAATGTAACAGGAGGCACAAATCTGCAGATCTAGAAAGATATTATGTTTCATGTTCATTAGCCAATAAGATGATTTGTAATTAGCGGTACTGAATTGTAATACATCACAGCCTTTGCAACCAGCAGTGTCATACGGTATCCAGAGGTGGCGCTGTCAGCATGCTAAGCTGCTCCTGGTACACTGGTCTGTTTGTGTGTTGTGTTATTTACACACATTGCTTAGTGTTTAACAAACACAAAATTACGGCGGTGGGAGGAATACACAACCGGGAGTTTCAGCCAAAATCATCCATTAAATCCTTTGGAGAACTGAATAAGATCAGCTGAATGGGATAATCTAAGGCAATAGCAGAGGAAAATTGTTTAATTTCCTCAGAACCTGTAAAATCTGAGAACAGAATTGCATCTACACATTTCCGACCAAGCAGTAAGAGGCAATTATCTACAGACACAAGGGTCTCCTGATAGATTCCCCTGAGGTGTCCTTCATTTCTCCACTGTTTTGCTTTTCCATTTTGCTGAGCAACTCCAGCCATCTGGTTTCTGGATGATCCAGTATGGCCACTATTTCAGATACATCCATCCATTTTCTGAAGCCAGAAAATGCCATATTCAGGGTCGCAGGGAGTCCCAAGCCTATGGGCCCGAGGACAGGAACAACCCAGGATGAGACATCAACCCATCACATGGGACACTCATACACCATACACACCTATGGACAGTTTGACAACTCCATTCAACCTCCTGATTTTGGAATGTGGGGGGATAGCAGAGTGCCTGGAGAACACCTCACAAAGGCACAGGGAGAACGTGCAAACTCCTCACACAGACCCCAGAAGTGTGAGGCAGCTATGCTAACCATTGCACCGCCCTGTCACCCTTTCAGACACAAGTGACTGAAATAACTATTTTTTGCCATGTGTTTCACTAATTTGAGTCATGGATGCTCGGTGTAGCCTGTAACCAGCCAAACCTGTATACAGCAGGGTGAAGCCCTGGCATACCTCCTGGACACCCCACCAAGCCCAACTGATTCACCTTCTGTTCCCATCTGCTCAGCAGGGTGGGTAATAGGGCTCCCTACCTTTAGTTGGCTGACCTATCATCTCCTCCCTGCCCATAACTGAGCTGCCAGGGACCACAGAGAGCTAGCTAGGCATCACTGTTCCGATCTCCAGGCACCGAGGGCATCGGGAGGTCACAGCACAGAGGGGACAGCTGTAGAAGTTCTAGCAGGATCTATGGGGCAGTGAAGGTAAAGGATGCCATGCCAGAATACTGAGTGGCGTCTGCTCCTTACATTTACATATAGATGATATGGAAGATTCCAGAGCCAGTGACCTTTCCCACAATTCTTTGTGAGTGTTGGAATCAAAGCAGGAACTTAGTCTCCCTAATGATACGACTTTGATATTAGGTACACAGCACTGGCAAGAAAGGTTTGGGGCAGAGGTCCTGAACCTGACCTTTAATCCCCTCTGGAAGGTAGAGATGGACAGCAGAGCCAGGTCCTGCTTCTCCTCAGCATAGCGAACAAGGTACACGTACACCAGTTTCTTCACCTGCAGGGTAAAGGCATTTCAGCGACACACAAGAATATGCAGAAACACTACTGTGATAAATGTATGACACTGTGTCTGTGTTATGAACCGTAATATTGTGTGTGTGGCCTACAATCTGGTGGCTAACCCAGACCTGCTCGGAACCCACCAGACGCCTTGATGGATTTGACCCTGACCACCCTGCTTCTATTAAAGCAGCCCACTTTTCTCTGCTTGTTAGCATGTCTGGGGCAAGTTGGACCCCCAGAGGTATTTAAACTCTGGAGTTTCTGGTTCTTCTCTTCCATTGTCTTCTGGCTCTCATTCTTTCTCCCTGTTTCACGTAGCATTTTGTATAAATGGTATAATAATGGATTGCAGCACTCTCTTGTCAAATGCCCCGGGGCGACAGAGTTGTGGAAGGTGCTACGTAACAATAACCTGATTGAATTATGCACATGACCATGGAGAAATGCGTCCCTTTGGAGAGGAGGCTCACCTCGATGTTCTTGCAGGCCACGTTCTTCACCACTGCAGGGAACAGGTCTGAGGCGTTCTTGCCCCTGGACATCATCTGCGACACGACATCATCGCCGAGTCATCATCTCGTCTATTGATGTGGCTACATATTTTTCTGAAAGATTTCTTCGAGGTTTTTACAACATGCCTCATTCTCACGCTTCTCTAATCCTCGTGACCCTTCGGGCATGAAAATTGTTCTTTAAGCACTATGACACCTGCAGGCCTAAAAATAAACTGCACACGGACCAACGGTCTCAGGCAACAAACTGGGATCCAGCTGCGAAAATGACCTCAGCTGACACCATCATGAAAGATGAATGAGCACGTTTATGCGTGGATATCTTCATAGTTGCCCATCCTTTAATTGACAGGTAAAAACAAAAAATAATGTGAGGTTTAATAATAAAATTAACAACTATTAATTATTAATATTAATTATTAGAGATAGTTCAAGTGGATTAAAAATGGGAGCCTTTTGTGTTGTTAACGCAATGAAAGAAACACATCCCACTGGAGGATAAATGGGACCCCCTCCCTCTGCCAAAAAATGGTCTCCCCCACCTCAATGATGTGCTGATGGAAAAAGGCTTGCAGTGGTACCACCTATCTCCCTCTATCTTGTAAATAATTTAGCCCCAGGAATCTTACAGTGAAACTCTGAAACTGACACCGCTGATGAATATTTAGCACCCCCGCCGCACCTTTTCTTTTGCTTACATCGCTCCTTTTTGATTGGCTGCCGCAGAGCCACGCCCCTTTAGGTACATTGAGCTGCACAACATATCTTGTTGTTGTGGGTTTGCTTTGAGATGCCCGTGGCCAGTCGTGAATGTCTTGGACAGCAGAGCAGGGACCCTGTCCCTGAAGTACGAGGTCTGTGGTCATTTTAAATGTGCGGGAGACATGCTGAGGTTAATTTCTTTTCAAATCAACTCTGAACTGAAGCTCCAGGAGAAAACTAACAAAATGAAAGGCAGAGCTATCTGAAGAAAAGCTAATAAGCCTGAGAGAAAATGGATAAGGTATGAATCATCCCAAGGAAACCGGGAACATCAAAAACCACAAATCAATCCTTCCTTACTGTGTTAGAGCAGCAGCTGCAAAAACCAATGTGTCCTTTTAGCTGGAAATACCCACAGATTTTTAAAATTATCTTTCACCGTTTCCCTGGCTCAAACTGTTCTTGAAAATAAAAAAACATAGCTTTCTTTTAAAAAGAAAGTAAAAGTGAAATCAGTGAAACATTTTGATTTTTGTGTTTGTACAAATACGGTGAAAAAGCCTGGCTGATTAGCTTCTTTGTTGTTTTTGTGACTTTCTCACCATGAAATGCTCATTAGACATTTACACTTCACAGCTCTGGGGAATAAAAAAGATTTTGATTTCTGTAATAGCTAATGAATTATTTTCCCATTGTTGAGTGGCACAAAGGATTATATCAACATTACTCAAACTAGGATATGTAGAGAGGCTGTGCATTATATTTTCTGGCCTGTTATCTCAAAGAACACATTTTCTGTGATCTTGAGGCAACGGAATTGTTTCCCCAAGATAGGAAAAAAATACGACAGGACACAGATTAACATAAGCTGACGGCTCTCAACACACACAGCTATAGGTATTTCATGGATACAGCTAATGGTGAACTAGATCTGACAGGTGTGTTTATAAATCCCTAAAGCGCTTTGTCTTGTAGGATGGGCTGGGCACGGCTGCTATCAACAGTTTTGTTATCTCGATATAAGAGAAAATTAAGTTGTGAAGATCTTATTGAAAAAGTGCATCTTAATCTTGATAACACATTGTCTCTTTGGGTTTTTGTACTTAAAAGTGCCTTTTAGTTGAATTTCACTGACTGGGTATGAGTAAGTTCACTAGAGCAATACAGAAAGCCCATTCATGGAAACGTGAATGAGCAGCACAGAGAACGCACTGAGCTTGCGGACTCCCTTGGAAAACACCATATATGTTCATATAGAGACCGTTACACTCCTTGACTCCAGTTGCAGCTAACATACATACGATTGCTTCTCCAATTAACTGTTAGTCAATGACCAGTTCATCAATGTTCTCCAAGGTGATTCCACGATGGAGATGGAACCCAACTGACCGTGATGATGCGCTTCATGGCCTCCAGCTTCATGGCATCCTTATTACTGTCCAGCATCTCCTTCAAGTCGTCGTTTCTGGGGAGCAGGCATCCGAATATTAAAACATCGCCTATAAGATGTTGTACCATTTTCCACATTGCACACTAAGGTCCCATTATTCTACAAGTTTTTCCACCAGAGAAACTGAGTTATGACTCATTAAGACATTAATCTGTTACCCTAGAAGGGAAATTACCATCACTCTCAGGTCTGGGGCACTACAATGTGTTGGCTTCAAGATTCATTGTCATCTGCAAGCTATTCTGTTTGGAGTTTGACCTGATATTACACGTGAGGCAGAACTGGCAAGGAATCTGAGAAATTGTGTTCTAGGAAAAATCATTCCTTATGTAGAAGAATATTCAGCCCTGGAAGCTTAATCCTGCAATCATCATTGTCATCTTCATCATCATCATCATCATCATCATCATCATCCTTATCCTTCAAGCATTGAAGTTATTGCAAAAATTTGCAAAGCCTACAGGATGCTTTGAACAGAAGTATCTTTTAAGCAACTATACAATATGAATACTGTATTTACGATTATGGTATGTCCAGAACCCCCACACACACATAACGGTTCAGGACGAAGATATTTTTAAGCTCTGAGCGCTGAAGAGGCAATCTACCATCAGCACCACCCGGCTCTGTTCCTGAATTCCCACCATGGACGTTATGGAGGAGCTGTTGGGAGGAAGTCCGGACGGTAGGTGGAAACTTTTTATATGCTGCATGGACACATCCTACGTAGCTGTGTGGAGCAGCACCTTCATAGGTTGTAGCCATGTCTAAGTCCAAAGTGTCCACCACACCACAGATCAGCCGTACCTTGGCCATCCAGCTGGTTTCCTTACCTCACTAATGGTCCGAAAACTCCAACACTGACTGAAGAACCAACTTTTTAACACTCAAAATGAACACTGGCAGCACTAAGATGTGTTTTTTTTCTCCCTTGTCCAATGTCCTTTGTCAAGACATTGAAAGCATTTAATTGTTTTGCTACTATAGATATGTACATAGCTCTGAGTAACACCATGTGCTGTCAATAAATCATTAGAAGTAACATCAATGTAATGTTCATTTACCTACTGCAAAAAAGCGAGTGAGCTCACCTTTCCGTAGCTTAATGGCAACCCGATATGCAGCTTTATTAATTAATCACTGACGCGGTCTTAAATGATCCTGAAAAGGAGCGTAACTTAATCAGGCAGCCATTGACTATATTCTTTGTTTGTTAGGTTGTTATCTTAGCTTTCCTGGCAGTAAAGACTACATATGTGACCTTACAACTTCCATTGCCTTCTCACCCCTAATCTCCTAATTTAAAGGTGAACTATTTGTGGTTCTCCAGCAATGCCAGATACACATTATGTGTGTTCCATGTGCTTAAGTTTTATGTAAACTAATATGTGTATTAGTGTATTCATGTTGATAGTATATGTCATGATGGTGTAATGTTTGCCATGGAATTTGTGTGTTTCATTAGCGTGTAACTGTGAGAGTTGTATGCACCCTTGTGCAAATTAATTGAAACCAGTTGTCACACAGACATGCATGCAGCCGTCTGGGACCTGCTGGTTCATACAGCCAACAGGCAAGAACATACTGAGTGGATGGACAGAGGAGGCACTGTGCCCACAGACTGGCAGACCTGCTCGGATTGGGAAACATGCTAAGGTTAGTTGGAGTTGCCAAATTCCCCATAGGCATGAATGGTGGATTGGCTCCCCATCCTGTGTTATTCCCAGACAATTTTTATCAATCCACCAGATCCTAAATCCGGGCACAAGTGCGATACGTAAGAATTAATGTGACTGTGATGTCCGTCTTTACTGTGGTCAGTCCATTTGCATAGAGATGCAACTTATTTCAATTAATTTGCACAAGGGTGTAAATTGTTGGTTTCTCTGTCTGTGCTGCTGCTAGTATTAAACGAATAGCGGCTGTTAATAAAGAGAGCAGCTTCCATTTAAATGGGCTGTCATCACCTTTATTAAAATTGGCCATAGTATGTTTATTTACCTTCAGTATGTTTCAGTATGTGGGTCTCCTGCCCTCTAAGGTCGTGACGTAGCGTAGAATTAACAGGGTTGCGGCGTCATTTTAAATATGCGATAGATTCATCTTGCTGGCATTTTGTCGTTTTGTCTGGATGGTATTTGAAGTGCACAGTCACCTTTAAGACCCTCAAGTGAACAATGAGCCTGCAAAGATATCAGCTTGTAAGTTCATAACCCCAACGTGTTCTGAAACTCTGCTGCATAAAAATGTACACTTTTCTCTTCATCGCGGTTCAGGCCGCCTAAGTCACCGGTCTGAGCCACATAGACCACCCTGATTTGTATTATTGCTGTGCTGACATCACAATGCAACCAGCTTAGGAAATAGCTTCTAAGGAGGACCGAGACCAGGCAGCAGACAGAAGGATCTGAGTGGCTGTTCATCTCCACATTTAATCATAAATAAAATGCTTCACCCTGCCATCTTTAACTCCAACAAAGATCTAACTAAAAAGCAATAGTGCTGAGTGGTGGAAGGGGGGGGGGGGGGGGGGGGGGGGAGAGTGAAGTAATGAGTCCATTTATTGATTTCTCCTATGCCTCATGAAAGAATTTCAGTGAGTTTCTTTCATGGTGTCATGAGTTTGGTTCTGTTTTTCCTTTTGGGTCTCCAGAATCTATGCTCAGCCACCGGAGATTCGGAGATTCACCGACAAAGTCTTCTTGTACGATAAGAAAATATTTAAATGGTTGATATACAATTCAAACTAACTCGTGTCTGGGTTTTCAGAATTTTCCCAAATATCTGATGGATTTTCTGTTGAGACATAAAAGCTTAATGTTTTGTAATATTGGGTTTAGCCCGTCTTTTGTCTGGAGTGTACATTTGGACTAACGCAAAAAATATGTGACATACAAAGAGTTTATGGAACCGCTGACGTAAAAAAGCAACATACACCTGTAAGAAAATTCACGCTTCATCTTTTCATTCATGCATGTTTTTAAGTACATATTACTAGTATATTTTAGCCTTATGTGTTTTTTTGTTATAAAGTGTCTTGAATGGTATGGGGGCTAAGTTGGGGGGCAGTGTGTGGCTCAGTGAGCTAAGCCTCTACGCCTGTAATCCAAAGGTCACCGCCTCAAGCCCCCCCTCCCTATGTCTGTGGCTCCTTACCCCCCAGCTCCCTGGGTGCTGCTGTGGGTGGCTGCCCTTCACAGGCATGCTGGCTCTTACCTACAAAATGCAAGCAGGGGGAGGAATAAAGAGAATTTCCCCACAGGGATCAACAAAGTATCTGTTATTATTAAATCTGATTTATGGAAAACCTCACTTATGAAAGGGTTCAAGGAATGGATTACTTCTGTGGGTTGTAAACTGCCTGTATCAGGATAAGTTCAACTGGCATTCCAGGGGTGAATCAGATGGCAAGTAAATGACATGTCAAACGCTGGCAGATGGCACAGCGGTCATGACACAGGGACACCCAGGGATAATGAGAGAGATAACTCTGGAAGTTCAAACAGCGACAGTCCAATCACATTCCACTCTGCGATTTTCACAAAATGCCCCCAAACACCTTTCACAATGAGATTTCCACAAGCTGTCATTCGGCTAGATAATGTGTGTTTACACAGTCTGGGATTGTCTTTATGAATTCATCATAGCATGCATGCTCCCTGAGACAGTGTTGGGCGCTGGCGGAATGATTACATTTAACGGCAGGGGATGACTCATCGGCCACACAGATAGATCATCGCTTTAGGCCGTCTTAAAGTAATCTGCAGCGTCGCGCGACTCCAAAACATCAGCTCTGTGAAAAATGGCAGCCGAAAAGACATTAGCATGCGAAATCAGCAGGCCACGGAATGACCTGTGACTGTCAGCATTTATGTCAAGGTGTGTCTCTGCCAACCCTCTGCGTGTGGAGCAGACTGCAGACTGCAGACTGCAGACTGCAGAAAGAGCCGCAATACACAGATGTGAAAATGCCGTTGTAATTTCATGGCAAATGTCTGCACTGACATATATGGCTTTGACTTCTCCTTCCCTGACTGTTTAGTACCCAGCATGACCCTATATAAATACAGAATGGCTACACTCTACTCCCAGTAACAGCCCAGGCTCAAACCATGATCAGATCCAGCCGCTTGGGAGGTCTGTAGGTGGACCATTCCTGTCATTTGTGTCCAGCTAATTGACCTTTCATGTGTCTGTAGTCTATTAAGGAAGTGGGTGTTGAAGGCTATAGTGGGGCTCCATTAACGCTGACCTGGCATTGATAACACATTCATTGTATCTCTACGATAGTTAGAGGCATGTAAATGAAAGACTTAAATCAATTAATAACCCTACAGGATTAATAATCTTCTTTGCTTTTTTCTTTGCAATATGTGCAAAACTAAGACAGATGAAAGAACTCGTCACCTGGGGCTAGCAGTGTGCGTGTGTGTGTGGGGGGGGGGGGGGGGTCACAGGACTCACTTGTTCTCATTCTTTCACCTCAGTCTTGATCTTGTTCTTCTCATCTTACCGGTGCCTTATATGCATGTTAGACGAGCAGCAGAGCAGCCTTTCGGTTCCAGGCTGAAGACCTATTACACTTTAGCCGTAAATAAGGCCCTAACTCAGGGCTGCTGACTTTGGTCAGCTGGCTGGTGTGACATTTTCAGTTCAAGACAGGTCTGCACACGCATCTACAGGTGTGTAACAGTTTGTAACCTTGTAAATAGTCTGTAGGGTTTGCAAAGTACCCCAACGCTTTCAATGTAGCTAATTTTAGGTTTGTAATGGAATAATACAGATTTCTTGTGGGAGCGTGAGAGTCTGAAGGCGTGAGTGTCACATCAGATGCGTGACCCTGTCTAACTGCACATGCTGCCATTTTCTGCTTGCTGTCGCTTTTGTGGGTCTTCTTTCTGTACTGACCCTCCGTACTGACCACCGAATCCCCCGGACCTGGAATGGACAGTAGATACCACTACCCAAACACACACTCCACTGACCACTATTCACTATTGTGAGCATGGTGAAGA